CTACTTTGTAATTCGCATTTGGGCACTAATGAAAGGTTTGGTATATCTGAAAATTACATATTATTGTACAATTTAGTAAATGGTGCGAATACATTTAAATAAAATAACTTCCAATGCAAAAAGAGAAATAGAATTTCAGTTTGCGGAAGCAGAGCATACTTTTTCCCGCGCAAAGTGACATCGCTACAGATTATAAACCTAGCACTGCACGCTACACATTAAGTTGTATGTCAAAGTATCTGCACGGCTAAAATTTATTTTATTTGTATAGGTATGTTTTTATGACAGCAATGACTTTAGGCGAGAAGTCTTGAAAGGTCGAGGTTTTCAAGTAGGTAAAGAATATCATATTTAGAAACATTAGGTGTATTCAGAGGAAGAAAAAAATTATTAATTATTTAGAATATTGCAAATAAATAAAAAAATAACTTAGATGTCTCGTTAAAAATATTAAATTATTTAACTATATTTATGATATAAGTAGGTAACTTGAAACTAGAATGTACATATATTTAACGCATGTAACGTGTAACATGTTTTTCTGTAACTAACTTATTAATTTACATCTACTCATAACCTACGTTTTTTAATAGGTAGGTAATACCTGTACCTGTTTACCAACTTGCGTATCGAAGAGCATATTATTAAATAATAATCTCAGGACATTTCACACAACGCCATCTAGTCCCAAAATACGCTGAACATGGGTTATGACACTAGACAACTAATAATAATACATATATATTTTTGGTAAATACATAATAACCATAGAAAACACCCAGACTGATATAAACTATCATAATGATGAATTTAAATGTTTGTGTCGTGTGAGGAATAGAACCCGCGTCCATCGGCAGTAAGGCGAAGTGCTGAAATGCTGCACCACCGAGACCGTAAAGTTAGTGGGTAGCAAATTAGTGGGTATCAATAAATCTCTGCACAATCTTATTACCACTGTTTGAATATAGGATCTCTTATATTCAAACAGTGACCAAAAGAGGGAATCTAAAAATAAAGTATAAATATGACTAGATGTATAAGACATCATAACTCAACAACTAAACTTCCTGGTCACGTGTATATACAAATAAAAAATAGACGAACATTAGAAAAATAATATGCGAAGATGTTCGTGCCCAATACCTTCTCTACTGCGCATCTAATTCAGACTGTAGCTTCATAGTTTGGGTAAAAGCTTTTCAGGGTTACGCATCGCAAATTGATAATGGGTTATAAAATGTCTAGGTGTGCTGTATTCGCAGGGGCGCGTTGTAATGGGGCCTCTAGAAGTGGGTCAGGCCAATGTCGGGTGATAGCGGGCGAGGGTTATCGTCGCCCCTGGCAGTTCCCGCACTGATTAAGCTATTTACAAATCAAATGTCCCCTTAATCACTATGTGAACGTCCTACTATACGATTTTAGTTTATGAGAGCTCACATTCATATTAGCGTATGAAACACATTAAATAAACACTCGTAATCTTAAAGACGAAAGCATTTCTTGTATTGACTTTTATTATTTTCTGTTGACTCTAACAACATGTAACATTTAAAGACTAAAACAAAAGAAAGAATATACACAGTTTCCTGTCAGTTTTCAAATAAAGTAGGTTGCCGATCTGATGACAGAGAGTGATAAAAAATAAGACGTGCACATGAGGCCGAAAAGTCCTATGTGAATAAATGATTTTGACTTTGGTATAGGTATATTGGCCAATCAGCAATTGATTTATATATGAAAGAAATTACTTCAAAAAGGAAGAGGATCGACATATATTTGATTGCTATGTATGTTTTGTGTGTATTATCTTGGATATCTCCGTCAATTGTGAGACGATTTTCAATATTGTTGTTTGATTACAAAGCATTTACTCCCAAAGTAATTCCATTGTCACCAAGTCAGGATCTCATAATGTGATATCAGGGTAATTGGGGGAATTTCTCAAATATTTTTTGTGCTATTGTGTGTTAATTCTAGTTAAGTCGTTCAAGTATTTGCGTCTAGAAATTATATCGACTTCATCTATAATCATTGAGTAAATTGTTAACGATCGGACGTACGAACGGTTTTTTAGTGGCCTGAACACGAGTATAACAGTAATTAGTAGTCGTTCCACCCACAATATTTCAATTTAAAACTTTTCTTCGTGGTATGTTTAAGCATCAGCAACAACTATAATATATAATATAAATAAAAAACTAGCTCTGTGACTTCGTCCGGATGGAATATACGACGAACAACGAATTTCCACACGATCTGTCTTATTTATTTTTACTTAATCAACAGCCTAAAAAATAAGTTTTAATCATCTAGCTTTAAAAATGACGATAATTCCATACAACCTTTCATCTCCCCTTTCAATTCCTTACAACCCTTTTTTCGCATTAAAGTAGCCTATGTCCTTTCTCACGGTCTATACTATCTGTATAACAAATTTCATTTAAATCCGTTCAGTACTTTTAGCGTGAAAGCGCGACAGACAGACTGACAGAAAAAGTTACTTTCGCATTTATAATATTAGAACAGATAACATAATATTGAAGAATGAAAAATAAAAAATATCAAATGAAAGATTTTACTGTTATTATTAAAAGCAATACGTTTATAATGAAACGTCAATGGTATTGATGCAGTAAATCATCTGAATTGCCATTGCGAAATTGAGCTGACCAGAATAGCCGATTGCGACTGAATACATGTGCGGTGAGGGTTTATGTACCTTGGTATAACCACATCAATGTGGTACTTAGAACTGATCCAAAATAAATCTACTAATGATAATTTATTAGATTTGTATTATGGTCTTACTCTTGTATTAATTGGATTCAAATAATATTCTTAATTTTTTGCAAAAACCATTATTTATTTCCAATTCACTCTCTAAAAGTTAACTGCCTGCTCCTCATGCATAAATTAAATATCAAACTCTTATTACTCACGTAACTCACGTTTTATGACGGACTACTTGATTCTATTGGTCACTGACATTATGATAGTAAGGTTCATAATAAATTTGTGATTATTTAATTATTTTAAATATATGGATACCACTCATGTTATTTTTATAGATGTGCTAGTTATTTTTACATTGTATGGTGTACCTATATAGGTACATTATATTATATAGTGAGAGTGTACCTACATCTGTCAAGAATTGAAAAATAGTTGGTAGCTATATAATTTTACTACTTCACATATCTGGAAATATATATTTACAGACAAATATATATTTATTGGAGATTACACACAAAGTAGACACAACTACTTTGTATGTAACCTCCAGATGGAAGCACAATATCAAACCAAATATATAATCCAAGAGACTTCTAATTCTATCTCTCCTCACACGTTGGATATATCTAGCTAAAAATTATCAATGTGACCATTATATCAAGTTATGTTTACCATAATGTTAATAGTTGACAGTGCTTCTGATAATCTTACCTGTGATAACAGCTGTGAAAGTATATTCATATAACACTTGCAAAACAAACTGAAATTGTATATTAACTGCATTCAACGGGGTTACGTAGGCACGCTTCTGTTATTGGGTCAGTCCAAATTCCTAACGGGTAATACTTCACGGGAACCTTGAGACAATGGTGCTATTAATCTTACTCCCATGCCCGTATGTACTTACGAGTATATTACAAATACGAGCTTTAGACTTGAAAACCCTATAGAGTTCAATACCTGGTACATAAATACATACCTAACCTACCTATACTCGTTTGTATTTGTTATATAGACCTATTTTACCTATTTCTAAGATGTGTATTTTAGTATATAGCTAATATAGGTACTTAAATTGGGTTTAATAACATATTAAAGATAGTTCAGCTAAATACTTATGAATCATATAATATTTTTATAGAAATACTTATAAAGAAGATATATTATCAAACTTTTCAGCTTATTATATTTTCTCATATTTAAATAACCTACATATAAAATAGAATCTACTTAATGCTTGCTATAATAATCATATCCCATATTCACTTCGTTAAAACCGAAGTGTTTCCATAAAAAACTACATTTATAAACCGCAAATTATAAAAAAAATCTCATATATAAAATTGCAGCCAGTATTTTGACAAAGACAAAGTGGCGTGTTGCAACGATAGTGTCCTATTGATATATTCACGTGGTAACACCAGAAATAGCATAGCCGTCCACCCGTGTGGACGATAATGAACATCACAGTTTGGGCAGTTAGGTACATACAGGAACGGATGTCGCCTCGTCTATGATATTTTTAGAGTTCGTTTCGCAACAACCTGGCAGATTATGCCGAGAAAGTGACCAAACTCCATAAGCGAGTTGAACGTAACTAAATTAAATTAACCGTTGTAAAAACCATGTCAGCTATTAATGAATATTAACTAAAAGCATTTAAATAGTTCAAAGAATTCAAAGAAACAAGAATAATTTTTAAATGTCACACATTGTTCTTAAGTTAATAATGAGAAGAAATATAAAAGATAATCTTAAGAAGATGTTTTATATTTTTACAACCAATCAATGTAAATAAAGATCACAAATACTCAATAATATATACACATTCTCTAATCTCAAATAGGTATCTACCTAATCATCAATGATCTACGAATGAGCCGTATATTGTCTAGATGTACAAACAAGTCTAACGAGATAATGTGTCCGATAACTTGTGGCGGACGTGTGAACGACGACTAGAAATCACTAAAAGTCGATGCAACTTGGAAACATAACGGGTCCAGTCAATTACCAACACCCACTACTAATGTTGACACAAAAAAAACTGTACTCTTTTAAAATACAATATTAGATACTTGCATTTATAAAAATTTGTCGCTGCTCTTACAATAATAACTTAAAAGGAACTTACTCAATTGTTTCTATATAATTGTATTTTATCATATTTGTTTCAATGTTTAATAAAGTTGGTCAAAACAAATGCATTTTCTTTATAAACTATGTATCTACTTAACAAAAGCTTAACAATTTCTTTTTTGTTACAGAAGCCATGCGGAGATAAATTATCAGTGATTCCGAAGTCTTCTATAATATATTGAAAAGATAATTATAAGAAGAAACAATGAAACGACTACAAAAATGCTGTTGTTGTGCTTCGACGCGCACTGGTACCTTAATAACTGCGGTTTTGGGTATCATTCTGTCCGTTGCGACTATCATAACAGTATGGGTTGTCGAGAAACATAAAGTTTCCTTCAGCACATTCATTTTCGATGACGATTTTGACAAGAAACTCTCAGATTTAGACAGTAGTTATTAATTTTTACGAACGTTTCATACCACATTTACATAGCATATGCGCAGATTTACATACCCTAACTGGAAATCGCCGTAAATGGCAGTGGACAGAAAAAGAAGATACAATATTTAGTAAAGCAAAAAAATTAATCACCCTTTCTAAACCTCTTGCTGCTTTTAATGAAAATTTGCCATTGTTTTGCTTGAGAAGAAAGTGAGTGCTTTTTCTTAAATATCTAAGTTAATCTACTTTATTACATGTGGTTTAAAAAAAATAGACCGTTACCATCTTGTTTTCGTAATTGAAAAACATTTAATGGTTTACTTATTCATGTAGATTCCAAATAGCAAATGTTTTCATAGTATATCCTATAGTCAATATCTCTTTAAATTTAACAATAAAATACATATGCCTTTACAATCTCTGTCTCAGAAAAGAAAGAAAGTTCACCCATCACCACATTAATTCAAGTTCAGATCTACTTAGCGGTGCAGTGTTCACCGTAGTAGCTGAATTTGAATATTCTATGTATCTGAAATCACTATAGTCACTAGTGTTTACAAAACAAAATATAAGATAGAGTACGAGTTTTTTAAATTTGAAAGTTAATAATAAACTGGCAGCAATCCACCTATTTGAAAAATTCTCTTACTATTTAAAAACTTCTTTATTCTAAATCGAAATATGATAATCATTTTTATCTTAAGCGAAGTCAAACCGGCTCTAGTTTATGTTTATATTTATTCCACTGATAATGTAAACTTCCTAATAATTTGTTTCAGTTCCGAGAATTATATTGACATTGAACCTGTGCTTTACCATTTTAATATGCACGCTTCTTATTGTGGCAGTTCTCAAGGTAAGTCTACAATATTTATTTATTTAACTCTAAAGTATTTGAAAAATATTAACAAAGAATTTGTTGTTTAACTGAGGATTACTAAGATCGAGAAAACTTTGAGAGAGATTGAGAGAACTTTGAAAGAAAATTACATAATAAAAATTTTAAACAAGCAATTTATTCAAATTATATTTGTGTTATTTCATGCCACTCAGAAATCGTTTTCGGTAAGTTGTAAAAAAAACTCTTTAAAGATCTTTAATACCCCAATAAATAGTGAATTATTATTAGAATTTTGTAACCTATAGTGACAATCAGTCAAGTTACTAAGAGTAAATAAAATGGTGTTCAATTTTATACCAATCATTGTAGAATATGTATTTGGGTTATAAAGTGCTAATCATCTAACAAACAAAAACTATCGAATGAAAGATAAAATTGGTTGGTAAATTGATAAACCACGGCTACTTAAAGGAAAGTATATGACTACCTATAGTTCTAATTATACGTAAACAGCTCCCTTATATTTACTCGTACCTAATGAAACATCGATTACATTCTTATAACAATGTAATGAGCTAGAAGATTAGCTAGTTAGCTATTTCTACCCAACTTGTCATATTATTACGTATGTATATGAATACACATGCAATTTAATTTAATTCTGTCACGATTTTACTTTCCAGAGGCGCTCATGGCTTATGCTACCATGGGTTGTGCTTGGCATCGTGCTAGCTATAGGACTGCTTATCAGCGTACTTCACACTTCAATCACGTACTATCTGATGGAAGACAAAAATGATGAGGATCACCACAACCACGTCATCTTAGCCACTGCTATACTCATCGGAGGACTTATTTACTTATGTAAGTGATTAATTATATTACGATATCATCAGGTTAAATTTTAAACTCTACAGTACAACTAATAAATGGTTGTAGCTTAACATAATTTTCAATATATCTCGAGACAATATACGGAAAGGTTTCAAATTCTTTAAAATAACCAAATTCTTCCTGTGGCAAATACATACTATTATGTAGATATACATTCTGAGCCTATGGTTTGTAACCAAATCAATGTTAGTAATGTGCATAAACTAATAAATTATATGTATAACCACACAAAAATGTTATCTAGGCTAACAAACTTATATATATATATATATAAATGGTTTCGGTTTCATTAATATGGTCATTTATATTTAAATCCGAAACTAGTCATCGGTTGTCTATTTCAAGGAAACAAAAATTTTCGAATTTTGGTTTTTAACAATCTTGGTTTTATTTATTTTTAATAATTATACAAAGTTGGAAAGGTAAACAAGTCTAATTTACATTGGAAGCTGTACTGAGCCCACATATTATAACAATATGATATTAATCAATGTTTTATTATTTTCCAGGCCTATATTTGTACTTGTGGGCAGTAGTCTTCAGTCACTATTTGGATGTGCGTGACGAAGAGGAACGCGGAAGATATCGCAAAGCCCCGTACCGTAGATAGAGTACAGATGGCAAATCTACATATTGTCAATACCATATATAGTATGATCTCCTCATATATTCAGACTTCATAAATACATGCACATTAGACTGATAGATTTATAATCTTTATGTATCAAAAATCGGAAAAACTGGTTCATTTGTCTGAATCTTATAATCAAAACAAAACACATTAAACTAAGTATCTTTTTCATGTAATAGACCAACTATTATATCTATCTTATGATATGTCAAATCTACCATCAGTTCGTGATAAGTTAAAAAACTCAGCTCTTATACTTTTCAAATGCGCTTGTACATTATTACAACAATACAGATTCATTCTTAAATTCAACTTGGGAGAATATATTGACTAGTGTATGCATTTTTTTGTTTTAGTGACTAATAAATATTAGAAATTTGAAAAAAATTTGGTGTAACAACAATGTATCCGTTATTGTTTCATTAATAATACTTATAAATAGAACATGTCAAATACATCAATATAGTATTTCACAGAACATAACAACTAGACATACAATATATGGTTCTGTAGTAAAGACACCTACGCTAATATTTAAATACTTTTTATCTTGTCACAATAAAACCTACAAGGCAATGTTTACAATTGTCAACATGTGTCATAATTACTAAGTATTTACCAACTTGCATGAGTTAGACGAACTATTTGTCATTCTCATTAATAAGGGTAAATAAAATGTGCAAGTAAATTATATTAAGTAAATGTTGAATTAAATCTGCCATGACAACCGCGGTAACAACCAAGTCGCAATGTTATTTATGTACAAATCTAAGAATAATAATTAATTTAGTTATTGGTCTAGATTTGAATGCTTGGCAAATCGAAACACTTTTATTTGAGATAAGAATGGATATAAATTGGAAATGTATTTTTGACTTTCATGGTGTGTATGCTCACGATTCGATTGATTGAACCGTGAGTGTATACCGTTGGATACCTAGCGGAAACACCAGATTATTTCCAACAGAAATTGAATGTATACTAATTCTGTGGATTTTAATTATTTACTTTAACAAGCTACCTTATTAGCATTAAATATAATAAAACAAAAACAATGAATGAAGAACATATTAATAAAAAATAAATTTATGTACAAAAGGTACTGAATATGAGTACGTATTTAAATAACTTATATAATATTTTTAAACAGATTAAATTTAAATATTTTTATAATAATGTTGATTTCTTGAAATACCTAAATACTTGCACAATCACTAATATTGTATATTATTACACTATACAGGAATTATATAGGTATTCTTTGCTTGTACCTAATCTGAAGTGTTAACAAAAGCTGAGACATAAAAAATGTGCCTTACAAAATATATGTAGGAAAATAAAAACCACATTTTTGCCGTGGTTTTATATATTTAACTTAAAGTAACAAATTTTATAATATTTAAGCGTTAATTATAGTTCTTAATTTTATGATATTATTTACTGTAAATTCATAAATGAATGAAATTAATAACATTTGACCTAAAATGTAAAATGTAAGTAAATATATAGTTATGAGCATCTATCTCATAACTATATATTTACTTCTTCTCTCATATTTGTAATCTACTTTCTCTCATATTTGTAATTAACGTAACGTGCGTTATAAACAATGAAAATGTTGATCTGAACTTATTTATTAATATATAATTTTTTAACTTATTATTTTACTTATCTACATACCTACATCTTGGAGAAATCATTTAGATGTATTAATTATTTAATTAATTAGAATTTAAGTTACCAGTTAAACTCAATATCTTAATTTATTTACATAGGTGTAAAATTTGAACTTTTTTATACGTCTATTATCTGCATATAGAATTTTAATAAATGTTTAGACATAATATTAACTTGTTTTTTTGTTTCTCTATTCTTTTTTTTCGGACTACTCCAATGCTGTTGGCCGCAGCTGGCCTTTACAGCTTCACTGGACGATAGGGGGCGAATGCAGATAGCACTCCAAACCCGCTAAAGGACTTATGCATCGGCTGAAGGCAAACTCCCGGCTGACGGATACGACTTTAGTCTGAGGGCATCGCTAGGGATTCGAACCTCGGCTCAGGCCGTCGTAATATCGATCCCCTTTGAATTGGATGGGGGACCGATCGGAGGCCGGGGGCTCCGGCGTGGAGCGCCCGAGCGCGAGGTATTCTTTATTGAAACAAAAAAATGTTCACTATGGTAATTTCTCTGTTTGTATGAAGCGAATCGTATGTCTAATATCGTGGGCTAAAACAACGGTGGATAATGCCATAGGATGCTCATGGCAACTAGAGTTAATGATCTTACGAATATTTTTGCGCATCTTTGCTAAACGTTTTCGATTATTTCTGTAGCGTTTTACCTAAATCCTCAGTCGTGTTATATTTATATTCACCTGAATACATCCATACTGGTCGGTCCAACTAGCAACCTTGTCGGTCTAATTATTTCTATGGAACACTTCGTTCGTCGTTTCGCCCCAAGTTTAGCAGAGCTTTTGTTGTTAGTACTAGATAACTGATATAATTACATTTTTCTTAATACTTACGTAATATACATAGAAAACACTTTATACTTTTGAATACAAAAGTTTGTACCATACAAGGAATCGATCCCGGGATCATTGGAAGTAGACAGGTGAGTAAAAATGGATGAGTAAGGCATGAACACTGTCATATCGCACAATCATATCGCACAAGTATAGGTAAAAGCCTCCGCCATTTCCATATGCTGTTTATACTAAGTATAACTTAATCTATTTACACTGCTACAGAACAAGAAATACCTACTTACTATATTCCAGAAATAAGTCTCTGGCTAAAAATCCACTACGAGCTATGTATACAGACTCGCGGTACATAAAGTTATCATTTTGCAACGCCAACAATTATTTTCTGCACCACCAATGGTTGACTGGTAGAAAATGCCACATGGTGTTAAGTCCGCCAAATGTACTGTACTATATATTATATTGTGTGCATTAAAGTTAAATAAAAATAAAGGCACTGAGTATGGCAATATGTTTGACGTCATCTTCATCCGAAATCATGTAACATCGACGAAGAAATCGCAGAGCTATGATGTTTAATAGTCTACAATAATAATATTTAAATAATGTTGTACTTTGATACTGTCATTACAATTAATAAGTGGTGTTAGGAAACGGTATGGACTTACTTTAAATAACAATAAAAAGGTAAATGAAGTAGGTATCTATACTTATAGAAGATTATTTACACTAGTCTCCAACTGAAACTGTTATAGAGTTATCGTATCAGATTGTTTGCCATTTACATAAAACATTTTTACAGCCTAATTAATGTCCCTCTTCTAAAGTGATTATTTATAATCAAAATTACAATTTATAAAATTGCCATTGCCTACTATGTAATGATACGTGGACTTAGAGAACTACAGAGCGTAAGTGAGTAAGGAATCTTACCAATGAAGACTTTATGCAAAGTCGTCTACATGGGCATCTGTTCATTCTGTCTCATCTATATCAACAACAACACAGCTTGCATTGTGAGCTATGTATCCTTTAAAAGGTGAAATACCTATGCCAATAAAATTACAGGGTAGCTACGAAAGCACAACCACGTGATGTTTATGATGTTGTTTATGAATATAGCCCACAGTTATTGGGTCGACAGCTTTTTTGCCATTCCTGTGTAAAAAAAATTGATTCTACATAAAAACATAGATGAAGAAGAAGCGATAGATAGCGAAGCGTGAATACGATTCTTGCAGAAAATATCCTCTTTACAGTGTACCAGATTAAATAGGCCTGTGGGCTCAGGGTTATATACTGCGCGCCATATACATTCATCTTTCGAAATAAATATTGTCTGTATACTACGTACTGTATATTGTCTATTATTGTTTGAGTTAATCTAGTTAACAACTCTACTTTAAACGTATTCTAAAAAATATATTGTATTTGAATGTATGCATTTTTTTATTAAAATACAGTATTATTACAGTCTTGTTTCTTAATGATTCCCCATTATCATGAAATAGTTTAGTAACTAAAAGAATGACATCATTTGATCGTTTGGCTGTAAGTGCATAATGCAATAATTTTGTGACATGTCTCAAAGTTTAGTGAAATTGCAAATGTAACACTGGTTATATATAAATTTGGTAATTAATTATTTAAATAGATGTACCAAACGGTTTAGGTATATAATAAATCACGGACATTACCTATAATTTTAATTAAATTTGACATGAATATTATATCTGCAAATATAGAGGACAGCGTCGTAATATAATCTAATTTCACGTCAAATTTCCGTTCAGCCATTTAACAGACAAAACAGCCATTTAACAAAAATACTTTGTCGTATTTATAATATTAAATGAAGTCATTCTCCTTCATATCCACCCGCTGAACTTAACATATCTGTCTTCTAATTGAGTCAAAACCCCTCGAAAAATACCAAGCTATTAGATATACCTATTACTATTAAAATACAAAAAAAACATTTACTTTGAAAACCGATATCTGTCCAATAATAGTTATTTTTTAATTCATATGTAAAATGTGATATTATATAGTTAGCTTTATTCATCAATTTTCTCATTATTGTCCAACATTGTTCTCTGTAATACACCTGTAAACTAAAAGTAAATATCACGCAAAATTACAATACATAACTAAACTACTCACAAACTTTTCATATAGTACATGCTTGCAGCTATATTGACGTCAGTATTGTTCGGAACCAATGAGAAATGGTGCACAGTTCAGTTCTATTTATATTATATAACTATTTATATAAAAAAAACTATTTAATTATTGGTATTGTATCATCCGTTGTCAAATACTCAACCGGGAAATATTCTCCCATATATTCGTTATGTTTAATATAATTTGGGGAATAAATATTTAAATTGCCATCACAAATACTATGTACCGTTATATGAAAAAACACAGTAAAAGTGATATATATAATATTATTCTTACGTAAGCACGCTTCAACTGTGATATTGCATTAACTTAAATTAGTAAAGCATGCTGAAATTACTGAAGAAACCAATTAAATTCTTGGTTGTTTTAATTTCGTTTAATTTACGATAATTTAAGATCCTTAATATGTCATCTGGCAAGGCTAATGTGATATACATATGTATGCCTACTTGTACTCTAATTCGTTTCCAATTGATTCCTTGTTAAGATTATACCACAACATTTTTTTATATTATAATGATTCCTACAAACTGATAAAATATCTATTACACTGTATGGAAACGTTTTTCACACCTACCTATATATATCTGTATACCTGCAATTTTCAAGAATGTAATCAAACGATTTTCCGCTGATAATCCGCTCAATAATGGAAATATCTATTGACTAATAGGTGAACAGAAGTCGATAAATTTATTTGACAAATTATTTTTAAGAATGTAGTGTTAGTTATGGACTAGACTAGTAGAAACTAGTGAATCCATTGTCTGCAATGTACCGGTAATGTGTGGTCGACTTCCACGCGGTCCCGATTACTTACTGTCCGTCGTTCATTTTTCAAAATCATTCGTTCATCTCGTTTTTAATTTTAGGTTCTTAGTTGTACAATTGATTATTGATATTATTCGTTAACGCGCGTCAACCTTTGAATTAAAAGTAACTTTAATCGATTATCTTACCTTCAATTGATTTTATGTTTTGAATAACTTTTGAAGCAAGTACGAAAAATAAAACCCAGACCATTGTTTTATGGTGCTGTATTTTCATTATAGAATTTGTGATTCGACAATCCAAAAATAAAATAATTCCTTTGACTCCTTTCATTTAAAATTGGGATATACCTACAGATGTAGAATTTTTAATATTTTAAGATAAGCATGTTAACAAATGGGTGTGTTTGACGTATGTAACTACACGTTGCAATGATTATTGCTCTGAGCAAAAAACTTCATTGTTTTCAATCTTATCATTTCTACATAGTTTCTGTCGAACCTAATACAACACAAATTTACGCACTATATAACGCCTAAACTAGAAGGTATAATTCAAAACAATGTTTAGTTACAATCGACGGTCGTGTCTCTACTACCGTGAAAAGTTACGAAACTAACTACATTTCGGGAAGCACGTCAAACAAATTATTTTTTAAACTAACGTTTTTGAAGTAACTATATAGTAGTAAAGTAGTTAAGGTAAGCTATAGGTAGTTAGTTACCTAACTAAACTAGCTTGAAAAATAAAAATAATGTTTTATCGGTATGTGTAGGATTGGGAGTAAGCGAGAGCCACCGCTCTACCTAACGATAACCCGAGAATTCTGTCAGATGTAATGATTTGATTCTGAACGTGAAATACTACCAGGAATAAAATGAATATGTTTACAAAATCTATGTCACCTCCACGCAACAGCTAACACGTAAATAACTAGTTTTGATAGTACTGGTTTAACTTTCAACTAGTTTTTCGCTGTGAACTACGCTACATCACTATCAATATTTCTTTCATTTCGTTCATTGTGTAGTTCAATCGTTCATCACTCCATTTCATTCTTCATTATTTATTCAGATATAGTTATAATTGTTCATTGTTGTTGCGATTCATATATTGTACAGTATATATTACACTAATACTCAAAAGTTAATTCGGAAGTATTAAAGTTTTTTAAGTAGGTATAAATTGTGCGAAATTTATAGTGTCAATAAAAATGGAAATATCCTTCAAAGGCAAAAGGATTCTAGTAACCGGTGCTGGACAAGGTTATTATCATATCTATTTGTTTAATTTTATTATATTCATAATCACATTGTATTATGAATGTAACATTAAGAATAGTACAAATACGCTAACTATATAGTCTTTGTGAATATCATAAACCGAGCAATTGTAATGCGACGTCGAATCATGTGTGTACACTTCATTTACAGGAATTGGACGCGGTATTGCTATAGAATTATGGAGAGCTGGTGCAAATATAGTAGCTTTATCTAGGACGAGAACTCACTTGGAGAGTTTACAAAGCGAATATCCGTCGATAGACATAGTGGACATCGATATTGCAGACTGGAATAAAACAAGAGAGGTGGTTGAATCTCTGGGTCACTTTGATGCGCTTGTAAATAATGCTGCTTTTGCATCATGCGAACCCTTTCTCGACTGTACACCTTCAGATTATGATAAGTTGGTGTTCTATATTATTATATTTAATTCTAAGACAATACATTTTTAATCTTTATTTCTCTATCACTAAATCTTCATTTTCTCTGACTTTACACAGATATTATAATAATAATTAATGTCTTTTGCTATATTTTATCATGGTAAAATAAAACTTAATAAATTTGTAATTACAAACGAATTTAATAAGTTTGTTACAAATCATTTACTCTAAATGGTGTTAGTAGTGCTTGGTAGTACTTGTAGCAATGTTAAAAAGCATTTACTGACAATTTCTTTTTTATTTTCAGAACCTTTAATGTCAATGTAAAAGCTGTTCTTAATATAAGTCAAATAGTTGCAAGAAAAATGGTAGAAAATAAGACACATGGTGCAATCGTAAACATATCCTCTCAAGCCTCTAAGGTATCATAGATTCTGTTAATTACTATAGTTAATAGGTCCTTTATAATTAATATATACTAGTTATTTTTATTTTTATTAACATTGTTTTATAATAACTTTGTGTGCTTTTGTATATATTATCAAAATAAGTTTTTCAAAAAGTGAAAAGATTTCCCTCATTGACTTAATCTATACCAGAATAGCTTTCCTCATTCCAAAATACACACTCCTTACAATATAGGTACCTATAGCTACCTACACTGAATTCATATAGTTTTCCAGGTTCTTGTCAATTATTGTTACCTGATATAAAAAAAATATTTATAAGAGAGAGAGAGAATTCTAAATGAACAAATTATTTTTACTTTAACTTTATATAGAAATTAACTATCATAGTGATGATGTAGTTTGACTGAATGCATATATGTCATCACTTTTTAGATCAAAAGATGTTATGACAGCAGACTAGGGCAAAACATTATATTAACATTAATATCTATCAGCAATGTTTTCATAAATTATCATAAATAACTTGAAATGTAAAGACTTCTTTTCCTGCAGTTTTTCTCACAATATGCATATTACTAAATTTTCTTCCACTGTATATTAACATTAATATATATCAGCAATGTTTTCATAAATTATCATAAATAACTTGAAATGTAAAGACTTGTTTTCCTGCAGTTTTTCTCACAATATGCATATTACTAAATTTTCTTCCACTGTTGTATTTTTAATGCACTGTATTGCTTTATATTATGTGGTGATAAACTATTATAATATGTACTTAATAACTAATATATGTAATCATTTTCTTTCGCATCATATATGGTTCTATCAAATTTAATTCAATTTTGGGCTTAGTTATTTGGGAGTAATTAACCAGAGGAATTGTGTTCCAGGCAGCCTTAAAAGATCATACCATATACTCTGCTTCCAAAGCAGCTGTTGATGCCCTGACTCGTGCCATGGCATTGGAACTAGGTCCCCATGGTATCAGAGTAAATGCCGTAAATCCTACTGTCATCATGACAGAAATGGGTAAAGTTGGTTGGTCTGAACCCAGTAGAGCGAATGAAATGCTTTCGAAAATACCATTACATAGGTAATTTATCTTTTTAAATATTAATAACAAATATTTTATGTATTCAATATAATTTTATACTTACATACTGTAAACCTTGCTTTTATATTATACTAACTACTCGACCCTGTTTCGCACGGGTGTACATGTATTATGTATATAATAATTCCTATAATTTCCTCTTGGATCACTCTATTTATTAAAAAGAACCTCTTCAAAATCTGTTGCGTAGTTTTCAAGATTTAAGCATACATAGGGACAGACGGAGACAGCGACTTTGTTTTACACTATTTATTAATAAAAATGATGAAGTCTATTTTGAATATATTAAATGTAACCCTACATTTTCCATGCCATTGTAATGTAATATTTATTAAGCCAATAATTTTTTTAAATTATTATATTTTACACAGATATCTGTATTCAATACAAGAGGGTAATAATCGTTAACTACAATCACTGACCTTATTTGATATGTGGGTCATGGTGAAACATAAACGTCATTTAAAACAAATATTGAACAGTCTTGTTGTAATTATTTAATTGTATGGAATGTAAAGCATTAGAATCATAGTATACTTAAATAAATATTAAATTTAATTTCAGATTTGGTGAAGTATCGGAAGTAGTTAATGCTGTGGTTTTCCTCTTAAGTGAAAAATCCAGCATGATAAATGGTGTAGAACTACCTATCGATGGAGGCTTTCTTGCTACATAAAAATCTCACGTTTTTATTTTACCAAAGTTATAAGATGTCTAAATTTTGTATTTTGATATATTATTAGATTATTAACACTATTTTCTTTTTATAATATACTTAATCATTTATTGACCAAAGAAAGTTATACCAACAATTATGTTATAGTATAATATAATTCTATATATGTAAAAAAGTAATTCTGCATTAATTTGTATTGCATTGTTTGCCATTTATAAAAAATAAGTTAGATTTAAATGTTCTTTATGGCTTGCTTTAATAATTTTAAGAGCAACTCCACTTCTCCAGTCATAAAGAACTTTAATATGTAAATATTGTGTAGTGTACCTCATTCTGTTGAATAATAAATAAATAAAATATTATTTTATTTATTTTCGCAGATCTAGTAATTACGTCATCATGTTAATAATTAAAATGTCCTCATTTGTTTTTATCGAATCCATAGTTAGAGAACGTGACAAGAATATGTATTTCTGCACAATTGGTAATTACGAAATTATGTAACATAACTGATAGAGGCATCTTTCATAGTTATCCGTGTGTGCTATCTCATATGACAGACCCCTTCAGTGCTTTCCAATCTTAATATTTTCTAGAATTTATTGAATGTGATTATCTATATCTCATTATTAATTTATTAAGGCTATTTGTTATACTTGAGACGACTTAAATAAAGGCTATTTGTTATACTTGACATTTTTTAATATGATCTATTGCTTGGCGCTTTTATACTTGACTGCATGATGTGAGATTATCTTTGAAGGCGACGGCTCTATCATTAGCTGTATACGGCGATGTTTATTGTTGACGGAAAATTAAAGACTTATAATAATATTAAATTTATTTCACTTTTATATCATGACGCCAAAATTGCGTCTTCGGTAAATAAACGTTATTCTATAAATAACGTTTCTAACTAGCATAAATAATAACACAGATACATTTATTGTAACGAAAATTATAAAGAGAATTGGATGATTGCCGCTGTATTGCATTGGTTTGTTTGATAATTTACCGTAGTAGTGTTGTTTTTGTAATTTCGGTCAGGGGCATAACCTGGATTGGATGAAAGTAATATCTCATAAAAATTAGAAAATTTCGATTCAACCAATGAAAAACTCAAAATCCTATTCTTAAGAAAACTCGGCTATTGTGTTATTACTATTACCTACCATTATCAGCTTTAACCGTAACTTACCGTACCGTAGCGTAACCTAATATGTAGCAGGTGTACTAAAATACATTTCTTCATAGAAATACGTACATCCGAAACAGACAACTGTTAATTTGTATTTCTGGCATTCTCTCCGGTGATGGAAGCAACAGCATTAATCAAATTAAGCCGACAGAAGGCTCACCTATTTGGATTCAAATTAATACCGAGCGAAATGTGGGTTCACCACGACTTAGTCTGCTGACAATGCCTGAGACATGTTTAGCAGTCGTGAATATATAGGTACGTTATCTAAAAATTCGTTTAACCTACCAACTTGTATGTTGATTTGACATTCTTATCACAATAATAATAAGCATATTTAATAGTTACGTTTCTTATTTATTAAAGCGACGTAGATAATGTAGGCAACAATTTAACTTTTAATGCGTATACCGGTGAGAAGATATTAGACTGAACGTTATTACTATATATACATATAATCGCTCCTTACATTATGGATAGAACTTTTAAAGGTAAAAGAATACTTGTAACGGGTGGTTCTCAAGGTAAGAAACTTTATATGTTTTATTAATAAAAACCCTTAAAATATTGCCTACTTAAATAGAAAGATGTTTCATGGCTGTTTTCTGGCTGAATGTCCCATTTTACATACAAACAAAAGATTATTTATTATGTACCTATCAAGAATTTTTAACAGTCGTAAAATGTAAATAAATAAAACAAGAACATAAGAATAATATAGTTAATAGCCAGCCAATATTCTACTCTGGTAAAAACATGGGCACGTTAATGAATCCGCAGGTATCGGATACGGAATTGCTTTAGAATTATGGAGGCAAGGTGCTACTGTCGTCGCAATGTCCAATCAAGAGGAAAGCCTGCAAAAACTGCATAAAGAATACCCTACTATTGAAGTAGCTTGTGTAGATCTCCATGATTGGGCCAAAACCAAAGACGCTGTGGAGGCTCTAGGCGTTTTCGATGGCCTCGTCAACAACGCCGGTGTCGCCAGAACCGAGTCATTCTTGGAGTGCTCACCGGAATACTTTGATGAGTAAGTTTACTTTAACACCTGTCTTACAACAATCAACAGTTAGATGGATGGTAATGGAATGGTGCATGCGCCAGCGCTAATGGTATGGGTACGCAGGGTAGCAGTGGATAATGATAAGATGAGCATGAGGTTGGGTTCAGTTAACATAGCAGAGGTTATCGGCAATTTCACCAGAAATTTATCACGAAAGCTTCCAGGGAGAACTACGTGTATTGCTAGCAATGGGGTTATTAGTCCATGTCACTAATCAACACTAGTCAATCCCTTCCCCAAACAACAACCTACAGTTAAATGGATGATATAGTGCGGTAGAATTAACGGTATACGCTGGCAGGGCAGCTGTGTGCAGTAGGTATGATGAGATGACGATGAGGTCAGGTCTGTGAGCCCATCGTGACAATATCACCAGGAATTATTCACCATAGTTTCCAGGGCGGACAGCTACTATTACTTTAAATTAATTACCATGAAATTATAAAAGCGCACAATATACCTATTATCTATTTATTTTAATGAGTCATGTCACAAGTAAACAGCATAAAAATAGTTCCTGAGCTGCGAATGCAATTTGATTGCGGTATCCTGCTTTGTTGTTGCAATAAACTAAATCGTGTTATATATAACTGCAGTTGTTATGACTTGTTTATACTGCTTGTTATAACTGCTGTGAAATCAGCACCTACTATCAAACTATGTACATGCTACATGTAATGTGCAGTAGTTGGACAATACCTGTGTATCATGTATACAATACCGCTCACAGAAGAAATTGTAGGTGCTGATATCACTGCAGTTATTATAACATAACAAGGTTAGTTCTGTAAAGACGCCTTCTTTAGAGCCAGGTAGGTATGTCAATCGTGGTAGAACATTAAAGCAATATGGCGAACAAGCAAAGTAAACGCGCGAGTATATAATATGCTGCTTTGATAACTTAACTATATAAAATCCCTCATTTCACATAATTTCCATATACAACCAAAAATTATTTTTACAGAACAATTAGTGTGAATACCAAGGCCGTGATCAATATAAGCCAGATTGTAGCCAAGAAAATGATACAAAATAAAATAAAAGGATCGATCGTGAATATTTCATCTCAAGCATCAAAGGTAGGGTATATATATAGGTTTTATATGAAAAAATACTATACGACTCGAATTAATATTATCGGGGGCGCTATTTTTATTCTTCTTGTAATTCCATCTTACATTTTGAATTATTTAAAGGATTTATTAACAATGTCCTAATTTAAGTATACCCTAGTAACTTTTTTTGTTAAACGTCTATTAAGCACTTATTTTACTATTATCTTAAAATTTAATAGGCAGCTCTTAAAGATCATACATCGTACTGCGCTTCGAAGGCTGCAGTGGATTCAATAACTCGTGTGATGGCTTTGGAACTAGGTCCATTTGGAATTCGCACAAACACAGTTAATCCGACTGTGATTATGACCGAGCTGGGTCGTAAAGTTTGGTCAGAACCCAACAAAAAGCGAGCTATGCTGTCCAAAATACCTCTAGGAAGGTAAGTTCGACATTCTTTTATTTGAATAGCACTCGCAGGTTTCTATATTCTTGTTACTGTCCATAGCCTCGCTCTCTATAGCTATGTTGTAATAGATACATTTTTTGTAAAATACAGGGACTAATTAAGTATTTTCTTTTTATACTGCTAATTATTTATTTATTTTATAATCCAGAGGTAGACTGGTAAACTGGTATGCTATAACCCAATAAACTTTCTTATTCGGTAGTGCTGTTCTCTGTAAATGTATTAGACACAAACATTATTATATTTCCTCAAGATTAGGATCATTGATTATATACGACAGTGGTACCAATCCAGCATACGGCTAATCTGATCATAAACGGTTACCACAGCCTATAGAGCTCTGACATACCAGGGTCATGTGCGCGTTGCCGACCCTTGAAACGTTACAATGAAATATACATATGTGTATACTATACCCTGCTTCATAAGAAAAGGTTATTTTATTACTCTATACTAATATCTTACTTTGCATTAACAGGTTCGGCGAAGTATCCGATGTAGTCAATACGGTTTTGTTCCTCCTGAGTGACCAAGCAAGCATGATTTCAGGTGCGCATTTGCCCGTCGACGGTGGTTTTCTTGCTACATAAAATGTAGTGTTTAACGAATAAAGCGAAAAAAATACCTAATTTTATTTTATTCAGTTTATTGTGCCAAATGAATTATACATACTGGACATAAGAAACAATTGCAAGCATAACAATTTATATATAATGCGTATTATGCTAAGATAGGCTAGCATAGATGTAAGTATAAAGAGAAAATATACCACGTGATAAGGTAAATTAAATATAACACAATGATACTTCTAGAACTAAAAATTAGTCCATTCTCTTTTTAATAAAAAATTACTCGCTTGGAGGGAGTAAATATTCTCATATACTTAAATTTAGAATTTTAAGATATCCAATAAAAGCCCACGATCTTTCACTAATCCCTTATCATTCTACAACTACTAATATCGATTCATCCCCTGCGCGTCGCCTATACGTGAACCGTACCACTCCACCTTCAATGAGAATTTAATACTTCAAAGCGGGAATATCATTTGGTACATGACACGTAGCTACACACACTCGCCCCAATCAAAAGGTATGCGCAGAATAACAGCAAAATAATCGAATGACATTAACACTACAACAGTTATGTATGTATTTATTTTCATTACCTAGGATATTGTAAAAAACAGTGTGTCAGCTTATCTAAATCCTTACAATTATTATATACAAGATCCATAAAGTCTTTCGTCGATTAGAGCGTACACTTACGCTAGAGCAAGCCACGACCATTCCGCGTCAGAAGCTTTTATCGAGATAAAATTAACGGCACTCAACACACTGGAGATACGAAGAAACAGTCGACGCCGCGTGACTGTCGTGCAGTCGCCGTGCCACTGCACAGTCGCCGCACATAACTGCTCAATCATTGCTCTCATCGCCGTCGCTTATAGCGGTTCAAGACAACACTGCCGTTCTCAAGCATATGAACACAATCTCAACATAATGCATCTAATCAACGTTATTCACAATAACAGAAGTATATATAGTTAAAATGTATTATGTATATGGTAAATGTTTGTATGAAAATAACAAGAACACTCGAGTGGACTCAAAACATATTCTGATATCTAATCTATCTGTATACAAAGAAATATTGTTGCTTCATTAATTGTTATTATTTAAAAAATGCTATTGTATACCCTGTTGAGACTAGCAAATTATGTATTACAATTGTATTAAAGTAATCATAATGTGCAGTCAATAACATGAGCCCCAAATAATAAGATAAGATTCAGAATAACTACATTTCTTACATCAATATTCAAATCATTTTTAAGTATTAAAAATATTGAAATAAAAACTAAAATCTTATTTCTGACAGGATAATAATAATCTTATAAGATTTGCAATACAACCCTCAAACGAAACTAAAATATTTACACAATATTGAACCTAATTCTCAGTCATATTAAGAGAAAGGTGGTCCATTACAATTTATAATCATTTCTGTATTTAAAAGGTACAAACAATACGCCACTCATCAACTACTGAGAAATTCATAATACAGTGCACAGCACTTATGAATTAATTAATATTTACAAACTTCAGTAACTAATTACACATGTTAACAGTAAATTATAACATTTTCCTGTTACTTGTGGTGAAATCTTTGCTAAATAGGAAATATAATAATTTAATACTACAATTAATATTGTAGTAAAATGGGATACAGCAATGGTAACCAATTATATTACATGTAATTTGTTTAGAATACAAAGCAAAAGGAGAAATTTGGTAAAATATAATTGAGATCATAGTTTTGTACACAAAAAGGAAAGAAACACAAGATTTAAAGTATTGACCTAACAACTGTTTGGAGAGAGCTTCATTTAAAAAGGGATACACTTCTGGAATAAATGTTTTAACACTACATTATATTCATTCAGGCCTAACCAATTGAATTTCTAAGATACTAGAACAATTTGAAAATTTATCTAGTTAAAACTATGGCAGTGGTTTGACAGACCTAGTAGGTCATACATGAAAAAGTTTGTAAGTTACAAATTCTTAAATTTGATGAATGTGCAAAATACTATTAAACTTGGAAGACAAAAAAATATTATGTGACAAAAAATAAAGAAATTATATATTGCACTCTTTTAAGTCATAGTATTTACACAAATAATATTTTATTTCGTTAGTCATCAGTTATGTAAATACTCTATGATTTCTAGCTTAGAAGCTGTAAAATTGTAATTGCAATTCCCTTAAGGAAATGATTCACTGTAGATAAAAGAAACAAACATAGAATATTCTTTTAATTATCTCTATTATAATCACAATTTAATCTATTTTAAAAATAAAAAAATACATCCCAATTGTCTCATTGATTAAGTAGATAGTTTTTGTCAGTATTTTGTAATACTCTTACATCTAAATATAACTGAGCATAAAGGTACAACGGATGCATGGGTAGGCCTATTTATTACTCCAATGAGTCACAATAAAACGTTCTATTTCATTTAGTCCACGGCCCACTCATTACCTTACTTATTCTAAAATTAAATAATTTACAATATATGAACGTTAACATGAATGCGTACAAAATCGTTTTCTTTAATACAGATTAGCATTCCGTGCCGTCACGTACGAACATCGGGAAGCGTTCGCGCTCGTGTCAATTCAATTGGATAGTAAATACACTCGTCATATGTGGATGTGCCGAGTCTGTAATGTCTGTTCGGGAGAACATAACATGCGGGTCACAATACTAACAGGGCTTCAGAATGTTGGTGTTATTTTAATGCACGGAGGGTGAGGCCCCTCACCGCCACTCCGAGATTGCTGCAACCGTCGTACTGGGTTGACCCGCCGCACCAGCCGCTAAACAATTACGTACAATTCTATTTAATATAGTATTGAGAAGGTATTATTACTAATTGGTACAGGTGACCTCATTGCTGTCAGGATGACACGCGGTCTCTCCAAGTTTATTCCTGATAAATTCGCCCCGTTAACTGATCTGACTTTACGCTTATCCTATCGCCTTCCTCCAGCGTTATATCGTTAGTGCAGGCGGTGACATCATTCTATATTCATCCATTGAAAAACAAATTGTTTTCATAAATATATTTTGTTCGAAAACAATGGGTAAATACTCGAATCCAAATATATGTATAAACTTTTAATAAGGAGTAGAATACTTATATATTTCTTTCATTTAATTATCAATGACTGGTTGTTGTAGATAAGCAATTTTTAATTAATTAATATTTATGTGGAGAATTATAAAATAGTGCTTATGCAATATATATCATATTATAAATTATATGATAAAATTTATATTGTATATACTCACTAGTTTCCTGTTCCTGATTTTGTTCATGGCGTCTAATAGTGGTACGGTCATTGCCACCTGATTGGTAGTTACCTCGTGGTCCTCCTATAAACATAGATATATAATAAGATTGTAAACATAATATTTAATTTAAAATACGAAATATGATAAACATGTGTTGTTTGCCATATTTATATTCCTGGAATGGACACTTTCTTGACCAGGAATTTAACATTTACTACATAACTATTTAAATAGATAGATATAGAAAAAGATAATGCAAGTGTAAAGTTTAAGTAAGTGATGAGTCTTGTCACCAAGCCCTGTAATACTATCAATGACGCTGTTCAATCTTAACAACTACAGAATTTTCAAATAAAATTAAGAGTTTATATAGGTAAACATCACTTAAAGAAATTACGTATAGCAGACATCAGTAATAAATAGCCTCTATAAAATTGACGCAAGTAGTGACTCATTAAGTATTACTTATTCTACATTGATTATAATATATTGATTTATGTATATTATTACAAATTAGTAAAATATTTTTAATAACTTTTTTGGCCTAAAAGCAGTGTCTTTGGGGTTCTGGTTCTAAAATTAAGCATATTCCAGAATTATATAGATTGATATCTAATGTAAAAACTACATCTTTGAAATGTTAATTTTCTCTTTGTTAGATGAAAATAGTTTATTCAAAAACGAAATGACAGTTTCGGGTCGTCGTTCATTAATAAACAAACATAAATTGATATGATATCTTTACTAAAACTTGATAATTACTTTATACAATGAGACAGCATCGTCGGCATTTTCAACTTGAGATATCAAAAAATTGATCTCAATCGGATTTCAACAAAACTTTGATAATCATTTCTAATTTTTTAAAATACAACGAAATTTTTGCATAAAAAAAACATAATAATAAAGTTAATATACTTATAAATTAGAAATATGAAAAAAAAATATAAGTTTCTAAGAAAAAAACAAACATAATAATAATTGAATGGTCAGAGATTCCGTTGCGACAAAATACATTCTTCTTTTTCGAATTGAAATTTTTTACAACACTAATAACATTGGTCCATTATGTATAGAGCGACTAATTTAAGTAATATTTAATTAATTTTGCTTATATACTTATTTCTACGAATTTTTTAAAGTTGTTGTTAAATATATATATATATAATATTTATTTTAGCATGCCAAGACAAAAGTCAGTTATGCTACCCTCCTATAACGCGGACTCTGAAAAGCACAAGCGGTTTTCGTCACATAATGGCAATTAATTGTTAAAATTAAAAAAGAGAACATTTTAGTATTTTTTAAAATAACGCTTATCTTGTAAGAAAATGTAAACGCGGTTTCCGTTTACTAAATTAAAATCATTGTTTATAAAAATATCATTATTATTTTTACAATGAATGGTTTTAACTATATAGTTTATATCATCTGGTTCAATGTGGATTGTAAATAAATTACCAAATTATATATAAATTATATTCTTCCATGTTTAAAGATATTTTATCTAATTTTATTTTATTTTACACAATACGATATTTCTAAATTGCGTGCCTGTTATTATACGTGTGTGTGTCAAATAATTATGTAACATGAAAGATATATATGTTTCTTATTTAGACTACATTGTCGCGTGAACTATATATAGAAAAACTACGTTCTTATATATAAACCTGTCTTAGCTTAAAATAACAACGAATCAAAATGTGAAGATCAAAACATGCATAGATCTATTACATGTGTAGATGATATTTTAACCATTAAAAGAAAATGGTATTAGGCGACATCATATCTGACAGTGAGGATGAGTGTTGAAAATTAAATCATTTTCAATTCTTTAGTCTATATCTTTTTTTTTGTTGGAAAACAGTTTTTTTGAGAAATTTAGTTTTTTAGTTTCATTTTTTCATCAAAAATGAGCTTCAAATTTGTCATTTTTATTGAATTGAACGATGTTAATGACACAGAGAGTCTTTCAAAATCTCAAAAAGTATAAAAGTAATCCCGCCAATGAGAGCAGTGTTTCTAAGGTCTTTTATTCTGTCCAAAATCTCTATAGCGCGTGATTTCATTACATATAATCAATGAGGCGTCTTATAATAATTTATAAAAAGGTTTGACATTAACAATTAATTATTTATCAACGCGCTACGAATTAGCCTGGTCAATTGATGCAGGAACAGCAATGATAGCAGTTGAAGCTTTTTTTACAACTTAGAATGGCAAACAAGTTTCTTCCTGATGGAAAGCGCGGTATATACATACAACGCGGTTCATATCAGCACATCCCTCATGCGTTATTCCTGAAAACTCGGGTGTTATTCCCCTGACTGTATATGTATTATATAAAATATACAAAATACCCACAGATATTTATAGTGCGAAAAAAGTATTCACTTCAACTAAATTATAATCGAGGTTAAAATGATTCAGATTATCTCTAAATATATTTCCTTTATTATAAACGTGACGAAGTTAATATACATATAAGGATGGGACCTAATTTAAAACACAACTATTATATATAAATAAAATAATTATTTGCTCATAATATTTAGAACAAGTTAATATCATATGTATCCGACTCTTATAATAAATTATATGGTATCTATTAATAAATAAACTGAATTAATACGTAAGAAGAATTAATTAGTAAATTTATGTTATAGTAATTTCGTCTTCCTGTCCCAATTATATAATTACCAAGATGCATTTAGTTGTACAATCGAACATTGACACACAGTAATATCATTTATCATTATTAGTACCTAATTAAGATAAATCACGTTATTTAAAAAAATACAATAAGTAGTTTATGTTACTTAGTTAAGTAGAAACATATCACATTATTAATTAAAATATTATCGCAAATGGTTCATACTAAATCCACACCGATTGAGCATCACGGTTATTTGCGTCTGTGTGCGTCATCATGTGTGCGTAAATCCATGCGATTATACCTCAAGTTGAGCGGCATCATTTTGTAATAGGCTCTTAATAACTTTTAAATGATACATACCAAACTTGAGCATATTCCAGTCAAACATGTAGTCGTAGGTGAAACCTTGTCGATGAAAGAGGGTACGGAATAGTTGTCGGAGGTGACTGTAGTCGGGCCGCTCCTCAAAACGCAGCCGTCGGCAGTACTTGAGATACAGTTGGAACTCAATCGGATGGTTCTGAAAACACGATTGCAAATTTTTTAATGAAGAATAGGAAAAGAAGCTTACGGTCTTTTACTCTCTTACAAACATAATCTAATGGTCAGAGATAGACAAATTACATTCTTCTTTTTAATTGAAATACGAACTAATAACTATGCCATATGTATTTAATTTACTAAATACAAAATTATATACTAGTCCTGTTTTTTATTTCAAATAAAAAAAGTGGTTTTAGTATATGTATTTAAAAAAATACAAAATACCCACAGATATTAGGCAGTGTTCACTTCAACTAAATTATAATCTTTAGACAAATAGACTGAGAGTCTATCTATTAGAATACAGCAGCTACCAACTTTTTTATGTATTATAACTGAAACTAGCATTCTTTAAACAAATCCTTATAATATAATATGTGTATACCTTTGAATTTCACTGCTTGTTCTATACTATCACATGCATGTATTATACATATACACCTTCCTCATAAATTACTCTGTCTATGTATCTATTGAAAACTGCATTAAAATCCGTTGCGTAATTTAAAAGATATAAGAGAACAGAACAGTAGCGACGACATTGTTTTATTCAATGTAAAGATCAAACAATAACGACCTATCCAAAGGTAAGGTAAGAGTCATCTGTATACATGAGCAGCACTATGGACATCATATAAACACATACAGCTGTGGTACCATTCGTTGCCATTCTGAAGAATTAAAATAACATGCCACCCATAGTCAGTAATTTCATTTCCTTATCTAATACATCAACCGAAACACAAAGCTTGCTGTTTGCGCTGAAATAAGAGAGAGCTAAAGTCTATCTCAGTAAAACTCTAGTAGCTTTGTCCATATTTTTCATATACTAGCAGAAAGACAAAGAATAGGCATGATGACACTATCTAAGAATGCCTGAAAACAGGATTTCATGTAATTTTATATGATAGGCTGATTCATATTTAAACATTTATTTTCAGATTACAAGTGAGATTATATTTATTTTAGTAAAAATAAAAATGCAAAACTTATCAATCCACCATGATAGATCGAACACCAATCAGGAGCGCGTGACGTCACTCATTCGTAAACAATATCGGTGTTGTCAATTTAACATATTTTATGCTATATTTGGCATAATTTTACGTTGTTTAGCATATTTGTTGTTTGTTCAAGTCACCGTTTATTGGCTATGTGCAACAGCATCTTTTCACTTCCTTTTTCTTATACAAAAAGATGTGAGATAGAAATAGAGTACAATATCGCATACATACTGTAATTTGAATTGAAATTTTACAGTCTATAATTTTTTACGAGTGCTTGATAGACGTTAATATGCCACCTAAATTATCTAAAGTCAGCATTACCGATTAAAGTGGGAGGAAATCTAACATTTCCTCCCATATTTATTTTGTTCAATAACATAATTGAATAAAACATAAAATAAAATAGATTTTATTGATTTTAAAGATATAATAAAAACGTGTACGTAAACAAATAATGTTTTATTTGAGAAATGTTAGCATTATTTTAAAATAAATAGCATAATTTTGGCAAAATTTTAATAACAGTTTTGCAATTTTGTTTATTGTCGTGATGTCAACGCTGTACATAGTACTATACGAAGTTCTCACAAAGTTGTTTTGCGTTATTTGTAAATTAAATAACTTCTTCGGCGTTTTTATTATTGTATTAGTACATTCAGGGACCGCACACCATCGATACACATTGGGATTCATGATTATTGCGCTTAAATCTTCAAAAACTTTCAACAAACACACTTATAACTCTACTATAAATTGTCACTTGTCAAATGTTTACGAATGGTTGACGTCACAGGCGACGCCATTGCTATTCTAGCGTTTTTGCACGAAATTTAAATTGTATTTTTTAAAAAGTAATCTTTCTATCAAATTCTTAGGTTTTTTTTAAAATATGATTTATTTTGTATAAAGATAGAATGTAAGAACATCGTGGAGTGTTTTTTAAAAATCAGTCATCATGCATATACTGTTTCATTGTAATGAAGAATGTTAATAGGTATGCCAAATCGGTCGAAAGTTTGATATAGTAAAGTTTGTATGTATACAAATATACTAGTTTTTGTTTTAGTCAAAAATATCTATTAGTTTTGATTTTATAGGCATTTAAACTTATTTCAACTATTAAAACTAAAATTTCGAGTCTCGCTAACAGTCACGTGACGTGTGACGTCATTTTACAATGGTCCGCTCCGCTTAGTAGTGAGTCGTCAGTATTTTGTTTTGTTTTCATCCGCTCATTACGTTATTATTCTATTAATTATTGAAATGGACGAGGGATTCGAAAAATGGCAATCGGATAATATGCTTAAAATAGATGCAATAATGGTTTCCCATTATTTATCAACAAATAGTGATTTCGTTGACGCCGAAATGCGAGGAATAAAAATGCAAAGGTAAGTTAACTTTTCTTGCTATTTAGAAAATAATTTATGTGTTTTAAAGTATTTTGTTAAAAGAAATACCCAACTGATGTCATATTGCAAGTATTGCAACTCATATAAGCAGAAGTACCAAACGTTTTAAGTTTTACGTTATATATATATATAGACAACAAATATGTGTTAGAGTTTTATATCTATAGGTACGTATGTACATCTGTAAATATAGGTACCTCTCTTAGTAAATTTAACTAAACACATATATGTATTGATTTATAGTGGGTTGAACAGATGATACTAAATATTTTTGTAATTTTGATTTGTCTTATTAATAAAATACGTAGGCCGTTTTATTTATTTTTATTTCTAACTTATTCCAAGTGGGCAAGAGACAGCTTTCGTGATGATGCTATCGGTTACATACAAGTAAAAAGAGCAAGTGATGTTTGTATGGTACACGCAGATAACGTGTGGTACGTACGCGGTGTTCGCGTACTATAGCATTTTTAATGTGGCTACATCGTCGAAGAGCCGACGACTGACATCAAATTTGTTGGATTTTTTTGTGATTATTATAAAAATAACTATTATTACTTTGGTGGTTGTATTTATGTATTTTGGCACATCACATGATTTCCTAGTATTTGGTTTGGTAATTTTTGAAGATATTTATAATTTCTAATGAAACGTAAGACGACTCCGTGCTGAGAGCGCGAGCGGACAGAGCGAGTGTTGTACTATGACGTCACACGAGTTCGCATCGCACGTTTACTTCTATAAATCAGAAACTAATTGACGTATTGAAGTAATTCTTTCACTTATATTTTTTATTTTTGACAGAGAATATGGAAAGCTATTATTCAAAATTAGTTAACATTCTTCATTGTAGAAGAATTCATTAATAAATTGACGATTATTATAATATAAGCACGCGATAAATACGTAGATGATATATCAATCAATATATGTATTAATCAGTGTATTACTTACTTTACAAAGTTCATCAAATGGTGTCGAAAGTTTTTTTTCTGATATTCTCTCATATTTTTGACGTTTAGTAGCAGCCTTGAGACCCTGCCATGGGAGACTACCACGGTTGAAGTACATTAGCACATATCCAAGTGACTCTAGGTCATCACGGCGCGATTGTTCTATGCCTAAATGTGTGTTAATCGAAGCATATCTTGCCGTACCTGAAATATATTTTTTTTAATACTTTAGACAGACGATTCAGAATTATATTGCGTAAGTAAGAAATAGGGCACTTGAGATAAACTATGATGGTGGACTTTATTTTCTCCATCTAATTTATGAGTGTGACAATCAATTTGCTAACTCATTACCTACTTGTTTATACATCAGACAATTATACAACGAGAGATGCATCCAACTGACAGCCAGACTGATAAAAGACATAACAACTAGGAGGATAATAAGTTTTTTTGTATAATCAGCACTATTATATTATAGACATATTACTGTTGCTGGATAAATTTAAATGACACTAATTTGGTATACACATAGATCAGATTCTAAATACACATTTATTGTATGTATAAAAAGATTCCTGTACATATTTTTTTAGTTTAGGTTATTTTTTACGAGCATATAGAGAATTATAGAAGTGTTTCAGAAAATACGAAGAATTGTACCAGCTCCCAACAGATCTGCCTTACTGCGTCGAAATGGATTACCCTAATTCATGCAGGTACCGCAAGAATATAATATTTTCTAGTAGTAGAACAAAATAAGCCAGATGCTATATATATATATATATAACTAGTTGTGCCCGCGACTTCGTCCGCGTGTCTTATTTTTCTAAAGGTAGGTAAGGGTAACTACCCCTTATTACATCAGCTACCTGCCAATAAAAGTCCTGTCAAAGTCGGTCGAGCCATTTCAGAGATTAGCCGGAATAAACAGAAAGTCAGACAGACAAAAATTGTAAAAAATGTTATATTGGTGTGTGTAGTATTTATATTCATATGCATGTAGTAAAAAACTATTACTTCAATATTAGAAACAGACACACAGATTTTATTTATATGTATAGATAATACATAAAAAGTAATATTATGCATTTAAATATTTAATATTAATCTACACATTCACCTTAGAATGTGTGGATTACAAGCCACAAGTCACTATTATATTTAATTGAATATATTTTCCTATAATCCAGTATACAAAAGATGATAAGGGGCATGCATGACTTATTATTTTATATCAATACAATTAATTGTATTTTCAATTCTCCTTATTATTATTTTTGCAGTCTTATGTTACATTTACTTATGTAAAACTTCTTATTATATAACATAGTTATAATTCATTTACCTGTTAAGTTTTTGTTTTCTCTGTATGGAATATGTTGCATAGTACGAGGATCCTTGTACTTCTTTGCTAAGCCAAAATCTATAATGTATACTAAATTCCCTTTTTTACCTAAACCCATAAGAAAGTTATCTGGTTTGATATCTCTGTAAGAAAAATATATTTAGATTAGTGATATTAAATATTGTATATAATAGAATATGGGTAAAATTATCACACATTTTTATATTATAGTCAACTTCATATCAACATTTTCAATAATAATATTTAAATGATCTTCCTCTGGTTTTATTGTGCAAAATATTGAATTAAATTGACTTTAATGTGTAAAATTTCTAAGCATGTTATATTGGTTATTTTAAGTTTTATATGTAAATAAAACCTAATAAAAGTATATCATAGATAAAGGCACAAATACAAATTCTTTTAAAAACAATATTGGTGTTCTCAGTCGTAGTAATAAGAGATGTTGCTAGATTTACAATAGGGTAATTATAGATTAGAATCCTTATCTAGTCACATTTTAACATGTTTCATAACAATTTTATCTGTAACTATGATGAGATTGAGATATTTTGAACCATTTTTAGAATTCAGTTAATATATTCAAATCTGCAATCAACTATATGGGAAGTTACTAAACTTGAAACTAATGGATGGATGAATAATAATTTCAACTTAACATTTGTCTATTTGAATATATTAACTTAATTCTAGTCATAAAAAAAATATTATTACATAATTATCACAGAACAATCAAACAATTGTTTGTAAATATAATTATCTTAATTATGTACAATCTATAATAGTATCAGTAGTACAAGTTGGTCCACTAGCTATAAAATTGCAATGAAACCTAAAATTTGATGCTCTTCTTTTTTAAATTATATTGACTGACTTATTCAACCAACTACATAGCAACACAAGTATCTCTACCTTATAGCAAAAGTGGGTTATCTACCTAATTTATTTGTTTGATTTGAGATTTGGAATCTAGAGCTGCATACTTTTTAAATAAACATTAATATTTTGACTTAAGGATAATGAGATAAGATTTGAACTTAAGGATAATGTTCTTTCAAATATATTGGAAATAGCAATAATCTTGAAAATCTATTTTAGAGTCATATCAAATATTTATAATACAAATAAAAATTAGGACAAATTTATATGTAACCCTATTGAATAAGAAAATAGAGTATAATATATTACATATTATATACTAAATAACATCATTGTAATGACCTATCACCCAAAGAGGAGAGCCTACTATTACTTTTTGGTTCAAGGACTCCTTCACTAGCACATGTTTGTGTTTTGTTTTCATTAATGCTTTTACATTTTTCTAATAAATGTTTTTTTACAATACCAAAAAATCTAATTTCGACCCTCAAATTTAAATTATTCAGATGCTCATTAATATATATAAATTTTCCATAAGAAACTCTTAAAATGGTAGTAAAACCGTACCAAAATCTGTTGCATAGTTAAGATGTAAGGTGAATAACAGCTACTTTATTCTATTTATAGTCATAGTATATATATATAAATAATAAACATGGACAAACTACAATATCAATCATAGGTTGATAACAGGAACTATTAAATGTTTACTTAAGGAGAATATAGTGTTGTGTTCGAGTTTAAATGTAATTGTCATGTGTAGCAACAAATTATAGCAATAACAAAACAAAATTCATGCCTATGGATGAAGTTCCTGTAATGTATGTCTTCAATGCGAGTGATGAGCTGATCAGCAAGGATAAGCACAGTCTTCAGGGAAAAACGTCGCGAACAGAAATTGAACAGATCTTCCAAGGAGGGACCAAGCAATTCCATTACCATTACATTGTAGTCACCTTCAGACCCACACCATTTTATTGCAGGAATGCCAACTGTTGACAATACATATTTTATTATATAATTGTATATTAAATTTTATATTATTTACAAATAATTAAAATAAATGTAGCTTCTAAAAACAACTTGCATATTTATCATTTGAGTGTCACTACACAGGGTTATTGATATTGGGTATAAGTTAAAACTATAAGGTACAAATGTTCACCGAACAAGTCTCTGCAAGATATAAAATATAATCTAATTTCTATAAAACTTAAAAAAAAAATAACCTATTGGTCAACTTGTTTATTGTGTGCACTATATTTATAAAAAGGGGCAATTCAGAGTTAATATCAATTAATTGTTATAATGCAAATTGCTACTTTGTATTTTTTGTAATAGATGGTGTTCATGATGCACATATTGCAATATACAAAATGATGTCTTTATTTAAATTGTGTTTATGAGTCCTAATCAATAATTATTACTGATCAATAAATAATTGTTTTCGAATAATAATTCGGTTAGGATGTATAATTGCTGATCAAAAGTTTAAATAATAAAAAAAGCAGTATCATTTGGTAATAAATAAATACTCATGGATATGTCACATGATCCTAAACTATGCAAAGTTTGTACTGCAATTACTATAGCACTAATAGATATAATTATCTGTAGGTAAATCCAGATCAATACATACACATTTATGAATGATTTTGTCTTAAAGCTTTTCAAAATTAGTTATCATTAACTGATGCTTTGGAAAATAATTATATGAATAAGATCCTGTTATCAGTGTTTTACAACTACAAAGTCTAGATAAAAGAATTTTCAGTCAAGGTGTAACCTATAAAAACTATAAAATTAGATTTATATTACTTACGCCCTCCTTGCATTAGCTTATAAAATTTGCTCTCTATGTGTAACTGGGGATGTCGTGTTTTTATGCATTCTAATTTAATAGCTACCTCCTCTTTGGTCACAATATTCGTTCCTGAAAAAGAATTTTATTATAAACCGCGTATATCAACAAGTCTACTTGATATTTTAATTTAACAACTACAAACTGAAAAGATTGAAGGTAAATGTATGCGCCTATTCAAATTTCAAACAAAATATGCAGCATCAATGGAGAATCATGACATCGTATGATGTACTTGTACAGATGACCCAAAAAAGGAGTAATCTATTCAAACATGCAATTCATAAATAAAATGTCCTTTAAAATAAAGAATCAAATATTATTTGATACATAGCCCTTGAAAATTATCTATTTCGAAACAAAAAAATTGCAGCTGGCCTATTACATTGACCATCTTTCTTTGTTTACAATCATCTGTATCAACACTCACCAAGATAAATATCCCCGAAAGAGCCTGAGCCGATTTTACGACCCAGTCGGTACTTATTACCAACTCGAAGTTCCATTTTGATATTTCAGAATTGATGAAATCACAATAATATCACTGACCACCAAATCATTACAGGACGGCCATATTGCGATATAGACGCAGATCTCTATTTGGGCGAACTGTGTAATTATGGGTGGAATTAGTTCGTATCCTATATTGATTGTTATTAAGTAAGTGCTTATCCTACAGACAATCTTAGACACGCTTAGATTACTTCTATTACATTAAATATATCAGAAACTTAATAATAATCTACTTATACGCGCACATGAGGAATTCTTTTCATTGAGAATCGGTGAAATTTTTTAGGGAGACCATGGTAATAGTCTATGGCAATAATTTTGAGTGTTGCCATTAGTTTTACTACAATATGGATTAAATAATTTTAATATAAATAAATTTACCGAAACTAGTAGATATAACTAATTTAAAAATAATGTCACAGGAGAAAACTAATGTGTGTTATCTAATTACTTTTTAATATAATAAAGAATGGTTACATCTACCTTACATTAAACATCAATATATGCTTCGGTTTATCAGTTTATCAATACTTACTTTCAGTTTCAGGTAATAACTGCCTTTAGAATTTGAGCATCATATCATAAATATAAAATAATGATTAGCAAATATTTCAGAAACACTAAATACACAATTTATATTTCAGAAAACAAGCATGAAAAATCTAATTATGCGGAAGCCCCGGTTCCAAGATATGCTGTACGAAAGCTCTAAAATAACTATACAAATATCTAGAATAGCAATTTATATTGAAATAAAACGTAAAATGCACATTATTAAGATATTAAGTGAATGCTTCACTTTACATGAAAATTATATTCCGTTTGGTAAATAGTTTAAATAAAAGGCAACACTAATATAGTTGAAACATAAAAATTGCCAGGATGTAAAAAATAATATGTATGAATTTATTATAAATGCTACTATCTATATATAACATAAACTCTAATATTAATGTTTCTTATTATATTTTATATTATTCTTATTATATCCCCATATAAAAATAGTATTCCCTCAGCGTAGTAACCATTTTTTTTAAATTAATTTTAAACTTACTCGTTTAAAAAATATTAGAGAAACGAACTGATTGAACTTTATGCTAGTTATATGGTCGGCATATAACAATTTTGCGATTGATCAATTTTACCGAAGGATAAAATTACACAAAAAATAAAACAATTTTTTCTATCTATCATTATTATTCATTACCTACCTACATATGTCATATGCGATGATGTAATCATCATCGTTGGCATATCAACCACTGGCAACTTCTAATTAGGTACTTATCCAACGTAACATTAGAATTTTAAATTGTGTCCTTTTCACTGAGATACAGTTCGATTAGATTTGAAAGAATTAAATATCGTCACGGCTATACTACGGTCTACGGATAAGAATTAACATTCAATATTCGAAATTAGAACCATCGTAATGGCAAATGAGCCTACAGCCAACTTTCGAGTTAATTTAGTTTGTTTTTGGCTTTTTTTTATCATCTGAGAGATAGTCAAAAAGATATATAGATATTCATATGCAAGTTTATTAGTGTCACGCAGTCTCGATTGATTTTTTGTGATTTTTAAGTCGTATACGTCATAATAAAATTTTAAAGTATATACATATAATAAAAATTTAATGTACCTACTTACTTATTAGATATTATAATTTTAATATCTATTTAAAATAAAAGCAATACGATTAGTATATGGTCTGTCTGGTACCTATACCAAATGGATATCAATATGACTGAAACAACAAGGTCAGAAGCTACGAGAGGAATTGACTCGGCGATGATAACGATGCAAATCAATGCGTTTAGTTGAACTTAAGTTCATTTATTAATAACATCATGTTACCACGTCTATATGATACTTATATATTGGTTTGAAACGTATCTCTACCAAAATTATAATAATAAGAATAGAAATAGAAATAGAAATAATCTTTATTCAAATAAACTCATTACAAGCACTTTTGAATAGTCATATTTTGATTCTACCACTCATTCGGAATGCAGATTCATCACAAGAAGAATGAGCAAGAAACTTGTGTGTTGCTCTTTTTAATAGATGTTTTTTTTATATAAATAATTACAGTGTAACAAGTAAGAGGCATGCGACAATCAACATAGAAATCGCTACGCACTCATTATTAGTGTAATCAGATAATATTGTCAGTGCTATGTATTTAAAATATTTCTACAAAAACATTATTATCGTTAACTAATTCTTCAATTTTATAGTAAGCTTTTTTGCAAAGGAAGTGTTTTATTTGACATTTAAATCATTTTTCTGGCAGATTTATAACAGACTCTGGTATTTTATTGTAAAACCTTACGCAATTGCCATTATATTACATTATTGCCATAATAATTACATGACTTTTTTTTACATATAAACAGTTGCCTAAAGCAATGACTAATGTGGTTAACTTATCATACCTACCATTAACCACCTTATTTAAAATATTAGGCAATGAAGCACCAGGAAGACAATTATTTATGACATGTTGATATAGACTTTCTGATAATGAACGGCCCAGACCCTTACCATATTCATCTGAATAAATAATTGTCCTTCGTACTGGTGCAACATTACAATTATCAGTTTTTAAAGACAAGTTAGAATTGAGTAAACTAGAACAAGGAGTGATTGACTCAGTCAAAACCGATGTGATTGACTTATTGTTATTTCCATTAGGGCTATACTGACAAGATTTAGGAGATTCACACACCGGTGTCTCACAACAACATTTCTCTGTCAATGAGGTGAACCGCTCCATGTTGTAATTTCCCAACTCTATTAATTTATCCAGCGATTTACTATAATTATTAATTTCAAGTTGAGCACTTCAGGACATCTACAGGACAGGCCAAGCCGCCGAAGTCTGGGTTGAGTGCCAAGTGCGAACCCCGGACTTCGGCCCGCGGCACCTCGAGGTTATACCATGTGGTTTTTTAGTGGGTACGAGTCCCACACACCACCTCGCAATCCCTCTGGCGGGGTGACGGTCTTGTTGAAGATTTTTCCACACGATAAAAAAAAAACAGGTATAAAAATTCCAGCTGCGACCATAAGAAGTAAGTCGTTGTGCTAAACCGCTAGATCACCAAGGCCATCAATTATCGGACTACTGTACTTGCAGTTTCTACAAGACTAGACGACAATTTGTGGTAGACGATGGTTTTTTCGAACTATTCTAATTAAAGCAGCACTTCAAACCCGCGAAGCTTAGCCAGCGAAGTTTTTCACAGAAATATCCGCATGAAAAATAAGCTCAGAGTTTCGCTTAAACAGGTTGACTATTTTTTTCCACTTGGCGCTATTTTTTATCGACTACCTATATCTCTGATCGGGATCATGGACTGTAATCTGTTTTGTATGTCACACATGGAGTCAATCACGGATATACGTAAACATATTACTACAATGTTGTGTTGCGAATGGGATACAATACATAGTCGTGAATTTATGATTAGATATTTTATATGTATTATGTTAGTATGCTTCATTAAGACCAAGATATAGTTAAATATTTTCTACAAGTTGAAAATGACAGCTGTGAAATGAACTATGAAAATGAATTCAAAAATGCAAATTTATTGAATTTATTGGATGAGTTCTGCATTCTACCAGCCCTACATTTGGTACAGCAAGGCTTGTATTGGTGGAAAGTACGCCATTGTAGAGTACTTAAAATTATATGTGAAGTTGTAAGTCTCTGTGTTGCTAGAGCCCAAATAGGATACTGACATATGACTACAAACAAAAGACAAATTAAGTTTATATAAGAAGGCACGGCTCGAAACTTTCTAACTGCTTGGACTATTTTAATGGACAGGTATATAAAACATAAGAAAATACCAGAGAATGTAGGTGTTCCATTATCCAGACGAAATAACTCCTATTTACGAAAAACAATAATTGTGTAATATTGTTAGACCTTACTGATATTATGACTTATGATAGCTTCATGCGAAACAAATACATCCAAAAACTATTTAATAAAAACAATTAAATATTACAAAGTAATAAACGAAATAGTGAAAAATTACTATGTAACCACATAGTAATTTTTATGTAATTTATATATATTATATATATAGTAATTTATATGTATATTTACATGCTGTCGAAGTGGTATCGTGAAATACCTCTATTTCAGAAATATCTTTCCAATTCTAAAAGACCATGGCCTGTCTAGAACTGCATTAAGTTCTATACTAGAAACTGCATATGAAGTTGCACTAGCAGGTTCCTACCAGATTTGTCTGGGCAGGGAGAGAAACACGAGCGGTTTTTTTTTACGGATGACAATGGAATGGTGCACCCACCTGCGCTAACGGTTTACGCTGGCGGGGCACCAGTGGAGGATGATAAGATAAACATGAGGTCAGATCAGTTAGCTACAACGTGACAAATTCACCAGGAAATGATCACGATGGTTTCCAGGGGGAACTGAGTGGAGGTCGACCTGACATGGTACATTGCTAGTAATGGGGTTGTGAGTCCACATTACTAACAATCTCCCCCCCCCCCCGTCCCCCCAAACACGAGCGTTGTAGTTGGCAAGTAGTGTAGTGTGTAGTGCTAAGTGTTGGTTACACGCGAGTCAAAATTCCCGGGAACTGCTCAGAATTTTCCTATAGAAGTCAGATAAGGTATATTTGTTTTGAATTTTGAATTATATAAGGTTTTCTAGATATCTATTACTTTTAATAGGCGCAGTTAAGAGTTCATCCATTCTCTCTTCATGATTTGCTCCAACGACTATTTTGAGCATTTTACTACATAATAGGTAGCTGTTTCTGTTTGGTTTGTAAAATATCCTGTACCAAACTGGATATTAGTATTTATCATGAAAGCCCAGAACTCGTGAAGTAATATTAGGTACTCTTGCTATACATGTAATATATACCCACGTATTTATATTTTTTTATCTTGGCAGATATTAAGTAATCCTACAAACTAATTTTACGTTCATATGACAATTGAGATTTTAATTAGTTAGTTAGTTTAGTTAAATACTTGTATTTAACTAAACTAACAATACACAATTTGTCAGCGAATGATTGTAACTAAAATTAGTTACCTCGGTATTGGAGTTTCAGGAAAATGAAATACAATTGTTTTAAACTTTGCATTTATCATAATTGAACATTTATAATGTTTTAATAATAATATGTTCTCACAGGAACAGACATAAAGTATTCTTCAACAAATAAGTAACCAATTAATCAAGCCTCATCTAAAAAGTCATTATGTATTTTATTTATTTATTACCTACATATAGGTAGGTAGGTATTTCTGTAAATTATATTACTTAAAAAAAGTGTAGGAATTACTTCAAAACAAATCAATTATCGCTATCATATTATTAAACAAATTGACTTCAATGACTACAGTTATCAGATGAAATTGACAATAAGCTTACATTTGTTTCACATACTAATTTAAATTTAAAATTATGTATTTCAATTAAGCACTAGAAATGCAATTTCATGTAAACACAGATAAATTAATATAACTTTAATAACAAAATCGGTACCTAGGTTCAATAGATGCATGTAAATTGGTAAAGTTGGCCAGCGATCCCCTAATAGACTAAATACCGTCTACACGGAACTAAAATAGGGTCAATATCGGAACAGTCGTATAAAAGAAGATGTAGTGCATGATTGAATCTGAATTGAAATCGGTGAGCATAGTATGTAAAATCGGGCTCGATTTCTTTACACGCAAGGCTGTCTAGGAAGCGATACGCGCACTTTACCTTTGCCTTGAATTTGCCCCGCAATTTAATGTCGTAAAGATCTGTCTACAGCACATTTTATTGCTTGCCCAATTTACAACATCTAACAAATTAGGTTCAGTACTAAATGAATGCGAAAAACAAAAGATCAGAATAGTACGCTTTTAATATTAAAAAGTTCATCAATATATTCGTACATTAATAATTGGAACCAATTATTGTTTTTGTTTTGTAATACGTTTAAACCCAATAACATCATTAATCTCGTAATAATCTCATCTCTATATGTATATTTACTATTCCTCAAGTTTTTCCATTTCAGTTTGATAAAAAGAGTCTTGCCTCTTTTTTTGAAGGTTGGATTTATGCGGTAAGGAGAGTTGAGATTATTTATTTAACTTCAATGCACACGATACAAAAGGTGTACTACCTTTTGTATCTTATGCATTGAAGTTAAATATTCTTGGTTTTAACACCATGCAGAATTTTCTACCAGTCAACCATATATAGTGATGAGAATACTTGTGTTATTTTTAAAATATGTAGGGGCATTTTTGATCACTGACATCCAGTAATATATATTATATTCCAGTCTTATCATATTACAAAGCATTATTACTGAACCATTGTTATTTCTGAATAAATAGCGAAATATCATAGGTGTTACCTACTATGGATCCAACCCACATTATGTAAATAATAAAATAAAAGTATCACGCAGTTACAAGCAAATATAGGGGCACAACAACTATAACTTTATTATGTAACATACTTAGGTACATACACAGGACAATAGTTTTCTTCAACAAAATATATTAAAATACTCTAAAACCTTTGCATTAAAAAGACTATGAGACAAATTACTTAAAAATAACAAGATATAGGTACTTAATACTAAAAAACTTATAAAATAAAATACATAAATAAAATTTGAAATTGACAATGAGTAGTTCATTTTCATAATTGATTTCATATTTAATTCTACTCTAATTGTATATGTACTAAAATTATCTGGCTATTCCGAACACATCAAGACAGAGAGAGAGATGAAAAAGACGGTGTATGTGTGAGGATAGATAATATATAGATACGAATAAATTATTAAGGTATCTTTTGGATGGAAATCATATACAATGATATACAATGTTTGAATGACTCTAAGTAAGTAGGTATACTACGGTACATTTTGTTATGGTACGATTGTTTCGTAAGTTAAAGTCAATTTTATATTACGTTTTACCTACATAATAGTATGACACGTTAATATGTTTTCTTTGGCAATAAATATCTGATTGTTTAGATTGCTTTATATACATGTCGATCTACATAGAAGACATTCATTTAATTTTTTATGGTAATCAAATATAACACATTTTTAGCTATATCTGATACGATGAAAATTCTTTGTATGTATATAGGCTTTACATTTTAATGAAGACCGACAACTGCTATATATTACTGCGATACATAATCCTAATTTTTTAAAAATAGTTATAACATCATTTTAACATTAAAAAAACAATGTGTAATTCGAACAATATTTACGGACTTTGAAAACCTTGCTGTTTTGTTTCATACACAGAATTTGAGCTATGATGTACTTCATTACTTTATTGTTTCATTATAACATTGTAGTAATGAAAGTAATGAACAAAATAAAAAAGTTTCCATAATGTCTTAGTCACTTATTCCAAGACGTCACCACAGTGTCATTATTTTCAATGAAACTAAAACCTAATTTCGGAACAATGAACATTGAGAACAATGAGTAAACTACTAACTGTGCTTGTCCTGAAATAAGAACAATTAATTAAGTTGTATTGATAACCTCCATCTCAATTCTCCATTATTTCAAATATAATCAAGGTATATCTTCAATTTAATATTATGAAATTGAAAGAAGAATATTATGTAATGGCAAACCTATCATGTGATCGTATTACCTGTTTCAAATTACTTGCAAGATTGCAAATATAGCGCCCAAATGTACACAGAGTAGCAGTAGGTACTAAGTGCTCGTTATACCTTTTAGAAATCAAAACAAACTAAACCCATATTAATAAAATATCTTAAAACTGACTGACTTTCATAGGAATTTTCAGAAATATGAACATTTGAAACGAAAAAGAACGCGATCCATGGATCGCGTTCTTTTACAAGTTTACTACTAATTGCGAGATAGCTCGTAAACTATCTCGTAGTTGGCTATAAACTTATTAATAAATAATACATTTATTGAACAAAATTTACAATTATATTCACAATAAGATCGAGAGTACAAAAATACATATAGCAGGTAATACAGTTATTATAAAAGTTGTTGCGTCGCTCTCTATTTATGTAACGATAGATACAAAAGGTGTTTTAGCAAGTGTCTGAATACTTTCACTTTTAATTATAGATGTCTACTTAACTAAGAACGTGAAATGGGTAGATGTGATTTGATTTTAATAAAAATAACATCTTATCTATGATCTTTGAATATGCAGCAGAGGTTTATGTCAAATAAAAATGCACAATGGCCAATTCGAATAATTACTACTACTATTAGACTGACCGCTCTAAGACTGAGAGCCTAAATGATGTGAGATAAGGGTTTGAATTATTTTAAGTCATTTATTTTTATAACGTATATATATCTACAAATAAAATACTACTGGAGACTCTGATGCAAATAGTAATCATCCGTAGTTACAGGTATAATAAAATGAAAATTTTTATCAATACTTTTTATTCTATGGAAAACTATAACTTAGATACACATAAATAGTTAATATTCGTATATATTAAACACATTAGACTGTGTTTTATCAAGTTATAAAAAGAAACTCTACCTACTTACTTATTTACTGTCTTATCAGGAATCTTTTTCAGGTTAGTACCTATATGTAGTGTATTATACAATTTGTTTGATTGGCACTCACATCGTATAAAAAATGTACAAGAATACTGAGATTCGTTGTATTATTAGTGTAATGTAATATAACAAAACTATTTGTTGAAACCGATGTCACATACACTACACGGTATTTTTATTGATAATAACTCTAAAAATAATGATCGAAACAAGTTTAATTGTAACCACAGCCTATCCTTTTAGGATATATATTTATCCTTATATGATTAAATTGGAAAAATTACTTTATGTTTTTAATGTCTATTTATATACAAAGTAATAACATTGGTAAAATCATATCAATTGTTTACAAATCGACAATATAATTATATGAAGGTATATATTAAGAAGGAAAAATATATTATTTATGGTACTAGACTAAAGGAACACAAAATTCGAACTATATCGGTACAAGATTATGTAGTACTAGATAGGTATAGAAAAATTAACAACAAAATGTTGTATACATATGCTCTCACCATGCACTAAAAACAAATACAAATAGAGAACAAATGAGAATTTGCTCGTTCTGTAATGTATTCTCCACCTAAGTATACCTTTAAGGTACACCTTTTTCCACGTTGTATTTTTAGACCAAATTATATAATAGATATTAGACCTAGAAATTTTACTGGTAGTTTATTTTATATATACTTTTTTTCTGTAACCACAATTTTTAAGCTACCATTTTTTTATTTGACTTTATTTTTAAACACACGATGCGATTTTCGCTTAACAGATGTTAATGATTTTTTTCACAGTCAATAATATTCAATAAAATAATTAGTTAATACATTTTAATAGGATTAGTAGTTTGGGACTAGATGGTGCTATGTCAAGCTCTTGAATATGTATTCATTATTTATCTATATCTTTATTTTACCTTTATTAAATTTTTGTACAATAGGCGGGCTTAATGCTCTATGAAATTAAAATTAATTTTTAGTTCTCTGCTTGTGTTCTTTTAGTAAAAATTCATCTTTAGATGAATATAATTTATAGGAATCCCTTTAGCGAGCCGATTCATTAATATGCAGATGTGCATGCGAGCCTGGCAGTACGACAGACGAGACGGTCACTGGTGCGGGGTCAGAGGCAGTCGCGGACGCCCGGCGGACTCTCCTCTCTGTCCTGATCCGTCGCCTCGTTATTATTTTGTTCCTGGTCCCTATTTAATACGAATACGGGTTCGACGTTCTCATCGTCACTATTGAATCTGTAATTATTTAAAGAAAATTATATAAAAGTGCAAAATTAACTAAAAATAAATGTACAAATAAACATATTGGCTTATCAATGCGATAACCATATACTGAATTATTTATTTTACTAATTACAAATATAATATGAAAATAAAATTAATACTATATTATTATTTAATTAACGATCCACAACTATCGTAGTATAACAAAATATAACCTGTCACCTAATATCATTTAGTCAGAAGTTAAATAAGGTTCCTACTATTATATAATAGGTATTATTACTCCTTACAATTACATAAGTTAAAAATGACACGTAGCATACAATGGGGAGATCTACATACATTCAATAATTGGCTATGGATGATAATGGATGATGACGATGACCTAGATTTATGGTTGGAAATGATCATAATAGTGTTGGTTGTCGTATGAATTAAATTTGAAATGTATTGTGAATGACTTACTGATATCTAGGGCCTTCTCCTCTCATTGTACATATGGCATTTGTGAGGGCCTTCACATAATTTTTGGCAAGAGTTAATGTCTCAATCTTGGATAAACTTCTATTATCTTTCTTAACATGAGGTATGACTCGTCGCAAATCCTGAAAAATAAATTTAGACTACATTTTACAGTTTATTTTAGTATATTTATTAATATATAAACTTACATTATTCTTTACTTAAGAATGTTCATTCAAAAATTATTTGAAGTTATTTTTTAAGATTAATTAAATAATATATAATTAAAAGTGCACATGTTAAAATCCAATCAAAGAAATAGTCATATTGTAATTGTAAATAATTACAACTTATAATGGATACTTGCAACGTCTCAATTATAAGTAGAGACGATTTAAAGTTTTTAACGTGATATTAAAAGTAATGCAAAAAGTACTCTATGAGTGTACAAAGGTTAAATATTATGGTTTTCGTACGTATTATTGTGGTATTATATAGATACCTATAAAATTATCACCGAAACTTAGTATTTTAGCTAATTATGTACAACGACAGACCTAACTATTATATAAAATATATCAAGGTACAGTACTACCTAGTTTATCATCATCAGCATCTGATTATTAAATATCAATAATACCTACTTGAGCAATAGCAAAAGTAATAGTGTTATATAGAAAATGAATTATTTTTAAATTCTCTAACGCTAAGAATATTTGGTAGTAATATTTACCTCGAAAGCACGATTCAATGAATGCATTCGCATCCGTTCACGTTCATTGCTTTCGAGCCTACGAAGGTTACGTTCTCTAGCGGACACGCCGCAGCGACGGCGCCGTACAGGACCCGAAGAACCGCTAGCGCTTGCTGCTGATGATGACGAACCGGCGACTGCTCGCCGCGGCCGACAAACACGCCTCGCAATCTGTTCGTCACTCCCACTGCCACTGTCATAAAAATCTGTAAAGATACAGCCAAATTATATTTACAGTCACATGAAAATCACCAGAGGTAGATATTTTCGCAGTCGTTTACGTGTATGTTTCATGTATGGCGAGAAGCTGCTTGATTTGTAAGCAGCATTTCGGATACATGGAGGCAGGGAAGTTACAAATTAGTCCTTCGACAATCTGGAGGACTAATATGCAGCCCTCGTTCGTTGCAATGGCAACGATACCGTGGGGAAATAATATATTAATGTGATGTCGGTGATGCCGTGTATACAGGCAACGTTTATCACTTAACATCAGGAGGACTAATAGGACTATAAGTTTGTTTTCCATTGCAATTAAGTAAAAATAAGGGATAGGTAGTCAATTATAGAGAATGTGGTCCATTTAATTACAACTTATATTACGAGAATTCATTAGATGGATTGTATTAAATGTTTTATGAAATGTTCTTTGCCCATCTACATATGTATGTATACCATCTATTGCGTAGCGTTAAGGTGAAACGTATTCCTAGGCAACGCCCACGAGGCAACGCGACGCCGCGTTAATTATGTATTTTTTATGGATAAGCAACTTTATTCTTAATGCATGGAATTGTACTAATTAGGATTTAATAATTACTATTTTCCCAATTTTTGGAGCCCCTTTCATAGGTACTTTTTGTGATGTAGTTACCTTAAAACAATGTATAGTTCAATAATATTAATTAGATATAGATGCATTTCACAAATACTAAGAAACTATTAACTATTAAAATTCAAAATCGCGCCAACGTCACAAAGGCTCCGTCATGAAGCGTGGGCAAATGTATCGACACAAGATGCCACGACACAGAAAAGAAGTGAGATCACCCGATCACTGTTTTGTGCAACAAGTCAGCTGCTCCGCGAAACTCGCCTGTTACGTGACGTGACTGCACGCTTGATAAACTATTTTGCGTAAGAACATGAATGCAGACTTAATCGATTTGAACGCGCGACTTTAGGTGATTTTCGTAACACTCTTATCTGCTTCGTGCCGTTTGGTGGCATCCCATACAATAATGTTATTATAATTAACTCTACTATACTGCACCACGTTTTTCAATTTATTCTGCCGTTGTCAACATTGCTTCAGAATTAACATTTATATCTTTCGCTACATTTTTATCTTTAGTATTTGTTATTTTTATGAATAACTAATAAATAACTTTCTGGAATAAATTATCTGTATATTGTTACACAAACGGCATCGTCAATTATGTACATGGAAGGAATCGGCGAACGAGATAGCAACTTTATCTTATGCAATTTATAGATACGCACCTCCAGCCTGTTCTATTTTATCGGCAATATCCGGTTTGTTGTCATAATACTCGGAAGCTTCATCCTCGTAATACAACACCATCTGATCCGGCGATTCCGCCTGTGAGCCGCCACCCTCAGCACTTGCCCATTGGGGCATCTTGAAAGCTGAAATAAATAATAAAATACGACATAATATAATACAATAACTATTACATTTTGCGTTATGTTATGTAGAACAAAAAGGTTCTTTATTTCTTAGTAGTTGTAACACCTATTTTACAAGATTAATTAATTAGTGAAACGGCAATTTAACCGTTGGTACAGAGAATCTTGAATTAAGTTAATTTATTATGAGTAGGTTATATTCTGTACTGCAGTTGTATAGTAGATCTCAGCTACCCAATATGTCAGTTCATTAATTACTTAAAACTCTTTGCCATTTAATATTTTTACACTTATCTTTATTCATTATTATCTTCATAAATATCATATTTACCTATTCTTTGTAATTAGTAATTGGCTCTTAAGTTAGATTTTTAATCAACCGACAAAATTACATTCATATAACCAATTTTAATGGTCAACGGTATTAATATTTTTACCTAGATGGTACCTAAAAATAATTATAATCATGGTTATATATTTTTTCTTTTCACGGGTATCAATTATTCTTAAACGAGATAAACTAATCAATGATCTAATTTTAATTTAAGTTTTTTATAGGTAAACTAATTCTAGCTGTTTACGGTCTAAACATGCAATTATAGTAATTTTATATGAGTCTAAATAAATTTTAATATTCTTTAGTTTTACAAACTGCTGTCTTAGCCCAGTACCATAGAGCGAATAATAACACCTACAAACCTACGTCAGTATACGTAAACGTAATTTCATGGTAAGTATTTCACACTTTTCCGTTGCTATCGACTGCGATACGTTATATTGTACACCGTAACAAATGAAAGTTCAACTCCGGCTATATTATACCTATGCAGAACCATAACATTAAATGTTAAATTCAGTATATATTTCACATACATTCAAACAATTATTATAATTTAGGGCTTGGTTTATAAACTTTTATCTAACTTAAAAATTTTTCATAATCGTTATGGCCACTTAATGAGATGATGACATATTGACGTCTACGCCATAAAAACCCAAGCTAGAAGATAATATAACGACCTTAACTACCTATAACCAGATGTGTTCCCGTAGACAATTCCGTAGACTTGTTGAGTTACGTAATTCTTTTTCTGATCAAGAAGGTTTTACTTGCAAACTATTCTATGTTTTTAGTTTGGATCTAGAAGAGGCAATGTAATATTTTTTTGTATTTATACTTTATTTTCATTAGTTATTTTATTAGTTAGTCACACAATTCGTGTGATTAACTTTTAATTCCAACAAAATTTAAAGGAATCCTTCAAAAATATAAATTCCCACGCAATATTTTTGTTGTCTTGTTTGTTGTCAGATTTTATCTCTTGGCCTCATGGACAATAGTCATGGTATTAAACCACTAAGCGACAGTGTACCAGTACTAGTTAATAAGTAAATACTTAATACCTCTTAATGGTGAACCAAAATTGTGTTCAGGATGCTACCGTACATTTCAACGAGCAATACTGATAGAATTCATGGAACTTTAATTTAAAAAAGAACTACATATAACAGGTCGCTACTGTATTAATTATATTATATATACCCTTTGTATACAGAATTGCCAGATGATATAGTGTAGTTAGATACCATAATGACAGTGTTGAGAAAATGTAACGTTCAAAGGCGGGGGATTATCACACGGCGTGGCGCCGGCGGTCTCTAGGCGGCGGGCGTCGATGGCGCCCACGCGACGCCCAGTCGCGCGACAAATGACACTCATGCCTCGAAACACCCTTATGGCACATAATTGAAAAACAGTACAAACCTATTTCATATAGGTAGGCATTAAATATTTGTAATTTACTAGCTCAACCGCGCGACTTCGCCAGCATCACATTTACTTAACATTAATCATTTTATTTTGCCCAATTGACATATATCTTTTTTAATATGAGCCTGTGTTATTCTGATGCGTAAGCTATATTACTGTAAAGTGTCAACAAATCCGTTTCGTGCGTGAAAGAGCGTATTTAAAGTATTTGCGTATAATAATCATCCATCTATCCATCCATACTCACAAACTTTCGCATTTATAATATTAGTAAGATAGTAAAATTAGTTCTTAGCATTTGCGTTGCTATTCGCGAGTACAGGTGAGGCGTCATCTCTCCGTATTCTCTAACTACACTGATACATGTCATCTTTTAAACGACACAAGCACAGCAAGTAGCTTGGAGTCTGAATTAGGCGAGATACACAGACGACCATGTCGTACAAAGTCTACCTCGGTAAAGTTATGACTGCCCAAAGGTATGTAGGTAGACCAAGTTTTGCAAAATTATAAGAAAACATTTGAAACATAGGATACTTGTTGAATTATTAATGTTTTACATTCCGCTTTAGTATTCCACGTACGACAAGTCAGTTCGCCTGCTAGTCAAGTTTCGAATCAGCATGTTGGTCACTTTTGGTTTCATCGTGAACCAGTTTCTAATTTATGCATACGAATTATTGAAAAATATTGATTAGTTATACTACTACTACTACGTTAAAAAATTATAACCTAATAGAAACAGAGTGATTTATTACAAACATAACATAGCATTATCACGTTATCCAGGATAGGGTAGTCAGAGACATTATCAATTATCAGCTTCATTGTGAACGCAATACGTGGATTGAATTTAAATGTATATTAAAAAATGTTATTATACCAAATATTAATTAGTGAGGGAGTAAGAACACAGACATACCTATGGTATTCCATTCCCAGGATGTCGTCGTTAAAGATGTATAATGAAAACAAAAAAACATCAGTGTTAGAGACCTAAATTTGGAAATAAAAGTATCTACTTTCCGCCATCCTTCGCGTGGGATTTAAACGAAATGAAATTACGTTATCTATCATTGTACTTATGTATTATTTCCTAAGTAGATAAAGTTGAATCCTATGTAGACGAGCCATATAAAAGTACCTACGTAACAGGATAATTAAAGTACTTTATATTATTTCTAATATTATGTTTCCTCTCGCCTTAATTAAGGTTTCTTTCTATATATTATATAATATATCATTTGTATCAACTGTGATATATTTTTATAGATGTGAATACACAGATTTCATATCATATGATGGATTATTATATGATTTGCATTTGGCAATGCAATGCAATGCAATTGCAATTATATAATGACTTGTTAACTATATACGAAGACAATTGTGTCAATCTGCCGAGAACAAAGGGGGGGGGGGGGGGGGGGGGGGGGCGTTGGTTATTTCTAATGTTATGTACTGCATTTTCTAATATATTATAAGGCATAAAATTCTCAGATGAGTGGCTAACTCCCTTACATTTCCCTTTCACCCGAGTTCAGCAAAATATACAAAATATTTAATAACTTATATACTGAATTTGAATACATAAAAGATTCATGATTTTGTACTAGTAATTCTTTAGTCCACAATGCATTGCAATCGCGTGCGGCGACCACGTGCAGCCTCGACCGAACACACGCAAAATAAACGGATACAAACAAATATGAACGAAATTACCTATACCTGCGTACTTTTTGCATTGTTTACAATTTTTGAAATCATATGATTTCAAAAATTGTAAACAATAAATGGACGAGTGTTCATAATGTAGACAAATCACATTTTTTATTAATAACTACTGGAGTAGATCATTATTATATTTATTGCGTTAATAAAATATCAAAATGAATAAAGCATTTATATACTTACAGCCTATTTTAAACATAAATTAGTTAATAACAATAGATAACCTATTTAAATTTATGGGACATTATAAAGTAATTGTTTAACTACTCCCTCTGTAAAAAGTATTCTTATTCTTACAGTTATTGCGTGAAGCTAGAAGAAAAAAGAAAATACTTTATTAGCAAACAATAATGCAAATATATTCATACACATGGTCACATAACTTTAAATTCTAATACTTTTTAAAATAAGAAAACATTGCATAATTGACCCTCTGTTATGGTATCCAACCATTATTACAATTTGTATCCCACTACTGGGATACCAGTCCCCTTCACGGCGACAAAAATAAAAACGTTTATTAAAGAACACGATAGTTACTGTCCCATCTAACAAAATTTTATAAACAATGCATTACTTATTATTACGTCTATTGTGGTTATTGTCAGGGTTTTTGTAAATATATAGGTACACATATACATCATTACAAATATACATCCACCGGCCATATTGTTAAAAGTTAAACATAATTATTTGCGTAATAAAATATGCGTCACATTTTCCAAACTTAACACCTGTTCTAATAAATTCATGATATTGTTTTTAAAATATACAATGATCTTTATGCTATGTCATTGATAGTATTTTAAACCAATTTCAAAATAAGGAGGTTCTTAGTTGTTCTAGATAGTACCTGTTGTATCTCCGTTAAAATTGGCAATAGTTGTGCCATAATTATTCATTTAAGGCTGTTTATTTTTGTGCAACAAAATATACTTAACTCAGACAAAATACACTTAGGCTTACTATACAAATTTGTACATACTTATATATTTGTTAATTATATAATGAAACTGAAAGATATAAAAAAAATATTTTTACTCTATATCTGTAACTATCTTGAGGACAATGCAGAATGCGCCGATAATATAATTTGGTCATTACAAATACATATTTCTATTGCACATTTTTTCTACTCGTAGTCCGAAAAAATAACAGTCATTTTTATTCTACAATAAAATTCACAGACATCCGATAATAGCGGTTTAAGACATCTGATTTTTGTGGATTTAATTCCTGGACCATGCATTTCTTTTCTATAAATTGTTTACTCATAGTATAAGAAATATTAAGATCACAATTTTTAATGTTTTAGGTAGAGAACCCAACAAGTGCGTGGTGTGATTCGCACCTTACCAGTTTATTTTAATGACATTGGGCTAATATCACACCTTTTAAGATTGTCGGTGGATTACCTTAAGATTGGTAGGTACTTTATGCTTTATATACAACAGGTTTATACAAGCATCTCGATGTTGACATTTGCGTGA